CACAGACGCACAGAGACACACAGAGACACAGACGCACAGAGACACACAGAGACACACAGAGACTGAGAGACACACAGACACATAGAGACACACAGAGACTGAGAGACACACAGAGACTCAGAGACACACAGAGACACATAGAGACACATATAGACTGAGACACAGAGACGCACAGAGACACACAGAGACTCAGAGAGACACACAGAGACGCACAGAGACACAGAGACACACAGACACACAGAGACGCACAGACACGCACAGAGACACAGAGACACACAGAGACACACAGAAACACAGAGACGCACAGAGACACAGAGACACACAGAGACACACAGAGACGCACAGAGACACACAGAGACTGAGAGACGCACAGAGACACAGAGACGCACAGAGACGCACAGAGACTCAGAGAGACGCACAGAGACACACAGACACACAGAGACGCACAGACACGCACAGAGACACAGAGACACACAGACACACAGAGACACACAGAAACACAGAGACGCACAGAGACACAGAGACACACAGAGACGCACAGAGACGCACAGAGACACATATAGACTCAGAGACACACAGAGACACATATAGACTCAGAAACACACAGAGACACAGAGACACATAGAGACTGAGAGACACACAGACAAATAGAGACACATATAGACTGAGACACACAGAGACACACAGAGACGCACAGCGACACACAGAGACACATAGAGACTGAGAGACACACAGACACATAGAGACACATATAGACTGAGACACACAGAGACGCACAGAGACACAGACGCACAGAGACACACAGAGACACAGACGCACAGAGACACACAGAGACACACAGAGACTGAGAGACACACAGACACATAGAGACACAGAGACACACAGAGACTGAGAGACACACAGAGACTCAGAGACACACAGAGACACATAGAGACTGAGAGACACAGACACATAGAGACACATATAGACTGAGACACAGAGACGCACAGAGACACACAGACACATAGAGACACATATAGACTGAGACACACAGACACACAGAGACACACAGAGACACATATAGACTGAGACACACAGAGACGTACAGAGACTCAGAGACACATAGAGACTGAGACACACAGAGACACAGAGACTGAGACACAGACACACAGAGACACATAGAGACACATAGAGACTGAAAGACACACAGAGGATCAGAGACACATAGAGACTGAGACACACAGAGACACATAGAGACACATAGAAACACATAGAGACACATAGAAACACAGAGACTGAGAAACACACAGAGGCTCAGAGACACATAGAGACTGAGAGACACACAGAGACTCAGAGACACATAGAGACTGAGACACACAGAGACACAGAGACTGAAAGACACAGAGATACATAGAGAATCAGAGACACACAGAGACACAGAGAGTGAGAGACACACAGATACACATAGAGACACAGAGACACACAGAGAGACATAGATACACAGAGACACATAGAGACTCAGAGACACATAGAGACACACAGAGACTTAGAGACACACAGAGACTCAGAGACACACAGAGACACAGAGACTGAGAGACACGTAAAGACACAGAGACACATAGAGACTCAGAGATGCATAGAGACACATAGAAGCACACAGACACACAGAGACACACAGAGACACACAGACACACATAGACACACAGAGACACACAGAAACACAGAGACACACAGAGGCACATAGAGACTCAGAGACACAGAGACTGAGAGACACACAGAGACACATAGAGGCTCAGAGACACACATAGACACATAGAGGCTCAGAGACACATAGACACACAGAGACACACAGACACAGAGAGACTCAGAGACACATAGAGACACACAGAGACACACAGAGACAGAGAGACACAGAGACTGAGAGACACATAGAGACTCATAGACACATAGAGACACATAGAGACACACAGAGACACACAGAGACTCAGAGACACAGAGACACAGAGACTCAGAGACTCAGAGACACAGAGACTCAGAGACTCAGAGACACAGAGACTCAGAGACACATAGAGACTGAGATACACATAGAGACTGAGATACACAGAGACACAGAGAGACACACAGACACAGAGAGACACACAGAGACTGAGAGACACACAGAGACACACAGAGAGACACAGAGACACAAAGAAACACAGAGAGACACACAGAGAGACACACAGAGACACACAGAGACACATGCACATGAACTCTCTCTTCTCTGGTCGTCGCTAGCAGACCTCGACATCGGCCTCGAGCTCCTGAAGCAGACTGCTGCTGCCACCACGCGCGAGGAGAGAATAGGAGCAGAATCCTCAGAATCCGCAGTGCACAGAGACCCAGAGACACCGCATAGAGACCCGGGACTTTCATGGGCCGCTTTGCGACGCACCGCCTTCGTCTCTTCCCCTACGCGAGCGATGCGAAGTCCCGAACGCGACCCCCCGGGGGCCAGTCGCCATCGCCCGTCTCGTGCTGTGAACCCCGATGGACGAGCACACAACAAACAAACAACAACAACACGTGTTCGCGCTTCTCTCACCCGAGGAGGAGAGAAGGCGAGGGTGGACGATGGGAGGGAGGATGAGAGAAAAAAAGGATGAGAGGGAGGATGAGAGGGAGGATGAGAGGGAGGGAGGATGAGAGGGAGGATGAGAGAGTCGGCCTCAAGTAGTCGTCTCCACCACCACCACCACAACCCCGACCAAGGGGGTGGCCCCGTGGGCCAGACGCGAGGCTCTCTTCTTTATGCGCGAGGCACGGGATTAAATCGATCCCTCGTGTCGCGAACTAATCCGATTATTCTGCCGCTCGTCTCTGACGTGGCCGAGTTTTCCAGTGGCGTCACGGCGGCACCCGTGCCAGGCTAGGTGCACTTTGTGGCGTCCCTTTCGGTTAACACGAGAGGGAACGGGGGGGGGGTGGTGGTGGGCGCGACCCCAACTTAAATGTCTCCTAAATTAAGCTTTGGTTTTTGTTTTATTTTTATTCATCGTTTTATTATTTTTCTATCTACGTGACTTGACCGAAAGAACCAAAGAATATGAATCCCTGCGGTCACGAAAGTTTTAAGTCAAAAGTCTCCTGCATTGCTTTCTGTCCTTCCTTCTCCTCTCTCGTCAACGAATGGAACTTCTTGGTGCGCAAACCGATGTAACGAGTGAAGAAGAGCCACGGGGTGTCACGGGGGTGGGGGGCCTGGCTACTCACGGCTGCCGTGAAAGTCACTCGCAAGCCCCCTCCGTGAGCCAGGGGGCAGCGCCAAGGGGCACAGCGACTCAGCAACAACAACAACTCACGAGCGATACAACTCGCTTCCTCGCCCCGCCCCAGCAGTTGAGTGCAACTCGAGACAATTAGTGTAATGAGCCCCTCCTCATCCTCCTCCTGCTGCTTCTGCTGCGTGGCTCCGGAGTGCCGGCGAAAGCGCTTTTCTCGCCGGGATCCGATCGCCCGCCCTCTGTGCGGATTAACTCGGGCGAGTGACCACCTTCCCCCCCCCCCTGCTCATCCTCTTCTTCCTCCTCCCGTTCATCCTCCTCCCGCTCATCCTCCTCCAACTCATCCTCCTTCTCCCGCTCATCCTTCTCCTCCCGCTCATCCTCCTCCTCCCGCTCCTCCTCCTCCCGCTAGGGGTTGGAGAATCTCGTTTGCAAGGGTGTTCGGTGTCTCTGCGCCCTCCGTCGACGCGCACCTCACCAGCGTGGTGCAGTCCGGTCAAAAACGAGCACGATGACCGACACAGCGTGGTGTGCAGGGGGGGGGGGCCTTTATCCAGCAGCGGATTGACAAAAGGCCGCGAATCATTTGGACGACGGCATGTCGGGCCAGCCGCAGGTGCTTGGGAGCTTTCGACGCACAAGCGGAATCTGTGGGGGGGGGGGGGGGGGGGTCAACAGCTCGGCACTTCGTCCATCGAGGATGGAGACTTTCGAGTGCAGCGCCATTGTGAGATTTGACCCGCGCCCGCAATGTGGCATTGCCACCGCCTTAGTGGGGGCTGTAAATAGGCGAGGCCGCCTGTTTGAAGGGAAGTCCACGTTCACGATCGATTCTTCTCAATGATGACGGTGAAGCGGTTTTAGCGGGTGGATGGGTATGGGGACTGGGGTTTAACGTGTGCCCTCCACTCGACGGTCAGAGACTGATGGGCCGAGGAGAAATGGTTCTTTCAACGGCAGCATTCGGTCTTATACGAGGCCACGACCGATTTAATGACCAATTAGCGACGTTCTCACGACCAGCACGTGATCGTCCGAGCCACGTGGAAAGGCGGAGGAATCGGCAAGTGTTTAGAATCAACACCAGCGCCATCACTCATCCTCAACAGCCAACAACCACCACCAACCACGGAGCAGCATCGATGACCCATATCCAAGGGGTCCTGGCCTTAAACACCTGGCAGTTCACCAAAATTGGTTCAATCTTGACTGCTGTCGAGACACTGAATGTCGAATGCGATCCAGAGTTCGCTTGCTATCAGTGCCGGATGATCCTCGTAGCAAAAGTGGCTACACATGTAGCTACGGGCCCCGCACTTTCAAGGGCCCCGCGCTAAACGCTTCCAAGCTATCAATTGCGGTTCAGTGATTCTGCACTTGCTCTATTACTATAGTACTATACTGCCTTCTACTTTTATGAACGACTGGGTGTTTACGGTTAGCGATGTCGTATTATCTGGCTCAATATAAAATGAAAAAAATACAATTACTTGACTAGGCATAGGAAAAAAATGCGTGTTTTAATGTTTTTTTTTATTTAAGGCCCCTAAATGCTACAGGCCCCGCACTAGCTGCATCTGGCACCGCTTGCGATGAACCAATTCAACTCTGAGAACGCTGCGCGGGTGATGGGACACGTGCGAAAGTGTCACGTGGAGACGCAAATGCGAAGGCGGCGCACTGCCCGTGCATCTACACCACCACCACGGTTCAACTCGCATTCAAGTAATTCAACAAGAGATGGCGCGCGGAGTCATTGGCTGGCTTTTGTATAAAATGTTTATTGTATAAAAGTCAGTAAAGTGCTCGTTAAACAACACAAACGGCGGATTGGCGCGGCTGTCAGTCACGGTGAAGCGGACCCCCGCAGAGCCGCCACATACAACCTCTGTAAACACCACCCAGCGACGCGTCTGCGTGTTGACCGCTCTGCCTCGCTTCTCGTGCTTCATACTCCCCCCCGCCCCTCGCTCTCGCTCTCTCTCTCTCCCCCACGTCCTTAGAACTTTGTCGTTGGAGCGAAGACGGGGGAGGGAGGGGGGAAAATTAAACGTGAATTTAACAAAAGAAAATTGAATTTCCGAGAAGGCTAGGCGGGGGGGGGGGGGGGATCCGGCACCAAATAAACGCTCCCCTCCAAACACAAGCCAGCGAGAGTCGAGGCGACGATGCCGGTCCGGTACAACTCTCACCAACAACAACACCACGAGGGAGAGGCAACTTGGGAACGGTGAAGGGGGCCCCGGTTGTTAGGGGTGGAACACCCTGGGTCAACGAGGGGGCGAGTACTCACCCTAACACGAACCACACTGGCTAACCAGACCATATATCTACACCCCCCAGACTCGAACCAAATTAACCACCCAGGCATTACCACTCGCTACCCCTTACTAATCATGCTAGCCACTGAAACTACAACCCTACCTCTACTCTTAAACCTAACTAGCCAACCCAGACCCCTACAGCCCTACCCCTAATACCAACCACACGAGCTAACTAATCCGAACCTAAAACTACTAGCCAAGAGCCGAAAGGACCCCAACCCTACCCCTGATCACACGCTAGCCAAGCAGACCCGCGAGCTCGCCCCAACCGGACTCCCCCCGCCCGTCCCAATTTCCCACGTTCTCTCCGTTTCACTCTCAGATGCTCAATTAAGTTTTTTTTTTTACCTTCCTCGCCCACTCCTTTTTTTTGTTGGGGGGGGGGGGAATAGTTTGTAAGAAAACAAAAAAAAAGTTCATTCAAAACCCGCCAGTCAGAAACGTCACAGCCGTCGTACGGCACCACGGAGTCACGAAGAGCTCGTGACGACGACTTCAGCTTGCATTAGTTTCGCCTGGCCTGGCCCCGCGGGGCACGGAGAGCGTGCGAGGGCCGCACTCGGGCGGAGGCCTCGACGCCACCCTCCCCCGTCTCTCCCTCAACCACCGTGGGAAGTATAGTTGGGTGCTTTTCTGCACCCCCACCACCCAGCTATATAAATTCTGTAGACTCATCCTGCACCTCGCTCGACACCTCTCTACGCGCACTTGTTTCTGTACGGCGTCTTGACAAGATGGGGGGGGGGGCGATTTGCAAGTAGACGCTATGCAAAAAAAATCCACGCTGTGTTGTACAAGTCGGCACCCCCACACTTTAGCTTCTTTAGGTTGGCACCACTGCCGGCATCATCGCGCAAGACCCCCCACCCCCCCCCCCCCCGTCTCTCCACTCCCATTTCGGGGGGGGGGGGGGCGGGGAGTCTCGAAGGCAGCAGAGTAACCCTCGCCCTGTATCACAACAGCTCCACAGAAGTGGATATCAAAGAGCTACTTTCGAAGTCGCTTAAATTGCCTCACACACGGAGTGTCTGTCGCATGCCAAATCAACAGTTATGCCTCAAGCGCCGAAATCTTCACGGGGATTAAAATTGGCAACGAAAATTAAGCGATGGGAATTTGCTCAAGTTATTCGTGATCAGGCAGATACCTTCAACTCAAAATGCTTGAACCCAGTTTAAATCGCAGCAGAGGCGGTAACCGCGCGAGGTTGAACGCGAGTGTCGATTCACGAGTAACGGAGCTTTGCAAGCACCATGCAGGCTTGAGGATGCTCCCCACGCGTTACCGGGAGCACTGAAAGCAGCTTGGCTCCCAATGTTTGTCAAAAGCCAAAGTGATCTCCTGCTGAACTTGAGCATTGAAGGCCGGGTGCTTCTCTCGTCACAGCTCTCAGCCAGGAGTGGAAATTCCACGTTCCTATAGCAAGGGGAGGGGGGCAAATTTATCCTTAAGGGCACCCACCAGTCATCTTCCCCACACAATGGCGATGGGCCGAGTCAATCTCTCCAACCAGGATGTGAACTCGCAGCGACCTTCCGAGAGAGCGCGCTGCTCACTCTGCCACCAGAGCTACCACCTGGCCGGATATCCACGCCCGAGTGTGGGTCGGGTTCTGTGCAGCAATGAGACTCCATTGCCGTGGAACCGACCACAGCAGCATTCCATACAGTTCTGAACTAGTCACGTACACACACGCTGTAGTCTATTTAGTCTTATTGACTCTTGGGCAAGTGATGTTAGCGAGCACCTACTAAGGCCGGCAACGTCACTTGACAGGGTGGCCAGAACAACTTCTGGCCACCTTTGTATCCCCAGTGCTCATGTTCACACACCACAACAGATACTTGAACTAGGGGAGGGTACGGACTGGTTCACTGCCGATGTTGTGCGTGGCCAGGAATCGAACCCAGGTTTACCGTGCCATAGCTCAGCGCGAGCAGCATTGCCTCATCACTGCCCACACATTTCACAAACACATTTCACGCACACGGGCGAGTCGGGTAGAGACTGGCTCACCAGAATCATCATCCCCGCCAAGTCTCAGTGTCTCGACATCACGAGGTCACCCGCTGCCGAGACAGCCACAGAACCAGCCCGAGGCCCGCGGCAACAAAAATCACCAGCTCGCAGGCAAAGCAATCGTCCAGCTAAGAAGTCACACCAGCCACGTCAATGGCAGCACAGCTTTACGTGTCGGCAGGAAGCGATACAAATTGTCCGCGTCATTTCGTAGACCCCTTTAATGTTTGTCTGGGAAAGCCTCGCCAATGACTCGCTTTCCGGAGGGTCTTGCCTCGCGATGCGCGGCCGATTACTTTTTAACGAGCGTTTGCGCGCACGTGGGATTTATACCGCAGGAAACCTAACTTGCACACCTGCAGGATAAGCGTGCAAAAAGTCCGCAGACCGAACGGCAGGCCAATTGCTGCAACGGCGGCGGTACACAGCAAGCGGGTTTGCTGAACCGCCGTAAAAAAAAATAAAAAAAAAATTTGGCCACCTGGAAAGCCCCGCGGCGGGGCCGGCGGCGTCGTCGCCGCACGCGACAATCTCCACGGCGGCCGCGACCGAGACGCGGAGCGCGGTGCTCGTGGGAGCCTGCCACGGCGCCACTCGGCTCCATCGCCGAGCCGAGCGGGGGCACCGCCGCGCCCGGTGCCCCCCCCCCCCCCCCCCCTCGGCTCGCGGCGAGGGCACCGCGCGGCCCGCACGCCCCGCGTGCTGGTCGCGCGGCGCGCCATTGCATAGGAATGTCACCACCCGGAGCGCAAGCCCGAACAAGGGGGATGAGCGCGTCCTCCGGCCCAACCCACGCGCCGCCAGCGAAGCGCGATAACGATGACAATAATGCCACCATTCTCCTCCGCTCTCGGTGCTCACGGTTACGTTGCGTCTCTGCGCGTGAGCAAATCAAACTTTAGAACATCCGGAGAGCTCGTAAAATAAAATATAGAAAATTATAACACTTAAATTTATAGCCATACTTTGTTTGGACTGCTATATATAAAAAACACACAAATTATGAAAATAATAATGGTTTTTGACAACAAAAACGAACCCAGCGTGACCCCAGCGTCGAGGTACTGGGGGAGGAGGACTCAAGGAGCCACGGGCGAGGGCGATCACACCACGGCCAAGAAAACACCACCACAAATGGTCAACAGCTGGCTTTGTATTAATGGAGCGAGCACCTCTACGCTGTTGACCACAGCGCGGCACTGGAGCCAGGCCTCAGAGGCCCCAGGGGAAAACACACAAACGGTGAGCAGCTCAAACCTCGACCGGCTCCGTCATCGTTAGGTTTACCCGAAATATAATTATATATAATTACCACGCAACGCCTCTTTTACCTGTACAAACGCCTCTGCCATGCTTTTCCTTCTTCCTTAAATCAAAGACAAAGTTTCCGTTTTGACAATAACGAGCGACTATTTCCGCACCGAGCCGCCTCGTCGCACCTCCACCTGTCAGTTTGCCCCCAGTGGCATCTTGGCACAATTTTATTTTTCCTTACGAGGGTCCCTAGGCCCGGAACTTGAAAGCCAAGCTCCCCTTACGCCGCCACGTCCGGTGGCCTCGCTCTGCACTAAACGAGAATCACCGCTGGCACTGGGTTGGGAGGCTCCGACCCAACCCATCTCCCCCCTCTGCTCCGCCAGAGCGCTGCGATCACGATGGTGGGAAGGGAAGGGGGTGGGGTATTAAAGCTCTGAGCGCAGTGCCGGATAACGAGACGAAACTCCGGGGGAAGTGGAAACTTCCGTGTGCAGACCCCAATCAAACAAAAGGCACAAACCCAAAGAAGTGCTAGACCAAGGGGAGTCAGTGCCACAATAAATTCGTGAATTCAAAACGCAAACTGCGGGAGTGGAAGGTTGGGGGGCTAGGATTTGATGGCCACGACGCCGTGCCGTGCCAGACCCGGGAGAAGCCGCCGTGCTAAGAGGCTCCCCCGACCAGGCCGAGCGCCGCGTCGTGCTGCAGCGGGGGGCCGCCGCCGCCGCCGCCGTGCTGCTGCTGCTGCTGCTGCCCCCCCCGCATGGACGCCCGGCGCTTTGCCAGCCGCGACTTGGACGGGGGGGAGAGGCTGAAGGGGCAGAACGGCCGCGTGGACGGCGGCCGTGACAACGGTGGCCGGGATCTGGGGCTGCCGGGGAAACAGGCGCCCACCACCCCCTCCCACCCGTCGTCCTCCTCTTCCTCCTCTTCCTCCTCCTCCCCGCCGCCGCGCTGGTCCAGCCGCCGTGTCAGGGCGACGGCGTCGGCGGTGAACCGAGTGAGGTCCTTGGCGCTGGCGTTCCTGCGCGTGGGGGGGGGGGGAAGAGAGGGGGGGGAACGATAGGCGGGCCCGTGAGAATGTTTTCTAAAACAAACGGGCGCGAGCGGCGATTGTTTTTTGTTACTATATAAAATTGAACAAACGGCACAAGCGATGCCACTTGAGCGCTGCAATGGGGTGCCTGGTTGTCGTGCAGACCGGCGCCCGTCACAGAAATGTAGAATTTCTGGCACTGGCTTATTTATTATGGTGCCGTGGGTTCTCACCTGAGTAGAAGCTGCGGGGTGGACAGCGTCTGGCGAGGGGCGTCCTGAAGGCGGTATAGTACTATAGTACTATACCGCCTTCAACTTTTATGAACGATTGGGTGTTTAAGGTTAGCGATTTGTCGTATGATCTGGCCGTATAGCAAATGAAAAAATACAATTACTTTACTGTGCAAGTTAAAAGTGTTTTTTTATATTTACTTTTTTTTTAGGACCCCTTTATAACAACAAATGCTACAGGCCCCGCACTCGCTTAGTCCGGCACTGGACATGTGCGTCCAAGTTCGACTCTAAAACTCGATGACAATTAAGACGGTGGTGGTGATGGTGGGGTGGTGTTGGGAGTGGTGGTGGTGGTGGGGTGGTGGTGGTGGGGTGGTGGTGGGGTAGTGGTGGAGGTGGTGGTGGTGGTGTGGTGGTGGTGGGGTGGTGGTAGTGGGTTGGTGGTGGTGGTGGTGGGGTGGTGGTGGGGTGGTGGTGGGGTGGTGGTGGTGGTGGAGGATGGTGGTGGGGGGGTGGTGTTGGTGGTAGGGGTTTTTGGTGGTGGGGGTGGTGGGGGTGGTGGTGGTGGTGGGGTGGTGGTGTTGGTGGGGGGGGGGTGGTGGTGGGGGGGGGTAGTGGTGGTTGTGGTGTGGTGGTGGTGGGGGGTGGTGGTGGTGGGGGGTGGTGGTGGGGGGGTAGTGGTGGTTGTGGTGTGGTAGTGGTGGTTGTGGTGTGGTGGTGGTGGGGGGTGGTGGTGGTGGGGGGTGGTGGTGGGGGGGGGTAGTGGTGGTTGTGGTGTGGTGGTGGTGGGGGGTGGTGGTGGTGGGGGGTGGTGGTGGGGGGGGTAGTGGTGGTTGTGGTGTGGTAGTGGTGGTTGTGGTAGTGGTGGTTGTGGTGGTGGTGGGGGGTGGTGGTGGGGGTCACTGCTGTGCTGGAGCGGCGGAGATCACCAGCAGGGGGCGCCCTCTGCTGGTGACTCGCGCGACTCTCCAGCTCCGCGGTCTCCCTGCGGCTCCAACAACAACAATCTCACATCATCATCATTCTTATTCTTCATGAAGCCATCGGAGTTCCTTTGCCTGCTGAGCGCAAGCTGCCCCCTAACGGTGGACAACCGCAACGGGAAACACCACGGGGCAGGCAGGGGGCAGGCAGAGGTCCACCTGGCGACCAACTCAACACCATGGGGGGCGCAGTCTTGGGGTGAAGCAGAGGAAGCTGCTCAAGGCCGTCCGGTGTGGCCGCGGGGCCCTGTCGGGGCCACTAATGCTCCACAGGGAGCGAAGAGGAGTGAGTGAGTTTGTGTGTGAGTGAGTGTGTGAGTGAGTGTGTGAGTGAGTTTGTGAGTTTGTGTGTGAGTGTGTGAGTGCAGTGTGTGAGTGAGTTTGTGAGTGCAGTGTGTGAGTGAGTGTGTGAGTGAGTCCGTGAGTGCAGTGTGTGAGTGTATGAGTGAGTGAGTGTGAGAGTGTGTGAGTTTGTGAGTGAGTGCGTGAGTGTGTGAGTGAGTGTATGAGTGAGTGTGAGTGCAGTGTGTGAGTGCAGTGTGTGAGTGAGTTTGTGAGTTTGTGAGTGCAGTGAGTGTGTGTGTGAGTGAGTGTGAGTGAGTTTGTGAGTGCAGTGTGTGAGTGAGTGTGTGAGTTTGTGAGTGCAGTGTGTGAGTGCAGTGTGTGAGTGTGAGTGAGTGTGTGAGTGTGTGAATGAGTATGTGAGTGTAAGTGAGTGTGTGAGTGAGTGAGTGTGTGAGTGAGTGTATGAGTGAGTGAGTGTGTGAGTGTAAGTGAGTGTGTGAGTCAGTGTGTGAGTTAGTGTATGAGTGAGTGTGTGTGAGTGCAGTGTGTGAGTGAATGTAAGTGAGTGTGTGAGTGAGTGAGTGTGTGAGTGAGTGTGTGAGTGAGTGTGTGAGTGAGTGTAAGTGAGTGAGTGTGTGAGTGAGTGTGAGTGAGTGAGTGTGTGAGTGAGTCTGTTTGTGAGTGTAAGTGAGTGTGTGAGTCAGTGTTTGAGTGAGTGTATGAGTGAGTGTGTGTAAGTGCAGTGTGTGAGTGTATGAGTGAGTGTGTGTGAGTGAGTGTGTGAGTGCAGTGTGTGAGTGAGTGAGGAAGTGAGTGTGTGAGTGCAGTGTGTGAGTGTATGAGTGAGTGTGTGTGAATGCAGTGTGTGAGTGAGTGTGTTTGTGAGTGTGTGAGTCAGTGTGTGAGTGAGTGTATGAGTGCAGTGTGTGAGTGAGTGTATGAGTGCAGTGTGTGAGTGAGTGAGTGTGTTTGTGAGTGAGTGTGTGAGTCAGTGTGTGAGTGAGTGTATGAGTGCAGTGTGTGAGTGAGTGAGTGTGTTTGTGAGTGTGAGTGAGTGTGTGAGTCAGTGTGTGAGTGAGTGTATGAGTGCAGTGTGTGAGTGCAGTGTGTGAGTGAGTGAGGAAGTGAGTCTCCCTCCTGTCCACAGCCCCGCAGAGACAGTGGTGGAGCTTCTGCGTTCTTATGGCTGGGGGTGAGAGGGGGGCGAGTCTCTTCCATGGGACAACAACTGCTGTTGACTTTTTGGTTCCCGTATTTTATACCCCCCACGGAGTGATGTGATGATGGGGCTGAGTCAACCAACCCACAATGTTGGAGGTCTCGCTGCGAGCCGCTCACTCGCTCGCTCCCACCACCACCACCCCCACGAATCTTCGTGCGAATAAAAAAACGTGGCCGTCTCTGCCAAGCACGGCGAGCTGGGGTGGCTGGTGGTGGTTGGTGGTGGGGTGGCTGGTGGGGTGGCTGGTGGTGGGGTGGTTGGTTGGTGGGGTGGTTGGTTGGTTGGTGGTTGGTGGTGGTGGTTTCACCACGGCAGGCGAGAGGTGGCAGTGGGAAGTGGTCCTCATCGAATGGACGCGTCCCTCGCCCTCGGTGCCAGGCTACGTGCCTGCCGGGGCCGTCTCGGCCCTGGCGGCTCGGTCCTTGCGAGCGACGTAGACGCGGAACGCCGCGAAGACGGCCGCCACACAGCAGGCGGCCCCGCCCAGGTACCACCACGTGAAGCCGGACTCGGCGCGGCCCTGCAGGCAGCAAGCGAGGCCCGAAGCGAGCAGGCAGAGCAGGGACACCAGCTGCACCCACAGCGGGGGGCAGCCCCCCGACTCTGCCATCGCTGCACCTGCGGGGAGAGTCGCTGGTGGCAGAATCTCGCACCCCCTGGCTTCGACATTCCTCATCCTCCTCCTCGGAGACACCGGTAGAGCCGTCGACCGCATCGGAACGTCAACAACAACAACGACGACAATAACAACGACAACGACGACAACAACAATAACAACGACAACAACGACAACAACAATAACAACGACAACGACGACAACAACAATAACAACGACAACAACGACCGGGCGATGCGCCAAATGACAATGAAAAAGAAGCCACGGAGGGGCGCGACTGTGGCCATACAACCCCAACTATGGATCGTAGACACACAGAGACGCACAGAGACACACAGAGACACAGACACACAGAGACACACAGACACACAGAGACACACAGAGACTGAGAGACGCACAGAGACACAGAGACGCACAGAGACGCACAGAGACACACAGAGACTCAGAGAGACACACAGAGACGCACAGAGACACAGAGACACACAGACACACAGAGACGCACAGACACGCACAGAGACACAGAGACACACAGAGACACACAGAAACACAGAGACGCACAGAGACACACAGAGACACAGAGACGCACAGAGACACACAGAGACTGAGAGACGCACAGAGACACAGAGACGCACAGAGACGCACAGAGACTCAGAGAGACACACAGAGACGCACAGAGACACAGAGACACACAGACACAGAGACGCACAGACACGCACAGAGACACAGAGACACACAGACACACAGAGACACACAGAAACACAGAGACGCACAGAGACACAGAGACACACAGAGACGCACAGAGACACATATAGACTCAGAGACACACAGAGACTCAGAGACACACAGAGACACAGAGACACATAGAGACTGAGAGACACACAGACAAATAGAGACACATATAGACTGAGACACAGAGACGCACAGCGACACACAGAGACACATAGAAACTGAGAGACACACAGACACAGAGACTCAGACACACACAGAGACACAGAGACTGAGAGACACACAGAGACGCACAGAGACACACATGGAGACACATAGAGACTGAGAGACACACAGACACATAGAGACACATATAGACTGAGACACACAGAGACGCACAGAGACACAGACGCACAGAGACACACAGAGACACAGACGCACAGAGACACACAGAGACACACAGAGACTGAGAGACACACAGACACATAGAGACACACAGAGACACAGACGCACAGAGACACACAGAGACACACAGAGACTGAGAGACACACAGACACATAGAGACACACAGAGACTGAGAGACACACAGAGACTCAGAGACACACAGAGACACATAGAGACTGAGAGACACAGACACATAGAGACACATATAGACTGAGACACAGAGACGCACAAAGACACACAGAGACTCAGAGAGACACACAGAGACGCACAGAGACACAGAGACACACAGACACACAGAGACGCACAGACACGCACAGAGACACAGAGACACACAGAGACACACAGAAACACAGAGACGCACAGAGACACAGAGACACACAGAGACACACAGAGACGCACAGAGACACACAGAGACTGAGAGACGCACAGAGACACAGAGACGCACAGAGACGCACAGAGACACACAGAGACTCAGAGAGACGCACAGAGACACACAGACACACAGAGACGCACAGACACGCACAGAGACACAGAGACACACAGACACACAGAGACACACAGAAACACAGAGACGCACAGAGACACAGAGACACACAGAGACGCACAGAGACGCACAGAGACACATATAGACTCAGAGACACACAGAGACACATATAGACTCAGAAACACACAGAGACACAGAGACACATAGAGACTGAGAGACACACAGACAAATAGAGACACATATAGACTGAGACACACAGAGACACACAGAGACGCACAGCGACACACAGAGACACATAGAGACTGAGAGACACACAGACACAGAGACTCAGACACACACAGAGACACAGAGACTGAGAGACACACAGAGACGCACAGAGACACACATGGAGACACATAGAGACTGAGAGACACACAGACACATAGAGACACATATAGACTGAGACACACAGAGACGCACAGAGACACAGACGCACAGAGACACACAGAGACACAGACGCACAGAGACACACAGAGACACACAGAGACTGAGAGACACACAGACACATAGAGACACAGAGACTGAGAGACACACAGAGACTCAGAGACACACAGAGACACATAGAGACTGAGAGACACAGACACATAGAGACACATATAGACTGAGACACAGAGACGCACAGAGACACACAGACACATAGAGACACATATAGACTGAGACACACAGACACACAGAGACACACAGAGACACATATAGACTGAGACACACAGAGACGTACAGAGACTCAGAGACACATAGAGACTGAGACACACAGAGACTGAGAGACACAGACACACAGAGACACATAGAGACTGAAAGACACACAGAGGATCAGAGACACATAGAGACTGAGACACACAGAGACACATAGAGACACATAGAAACACATAGAAACACAGAGACTGAGAAACACACAGAGGCTCAGAGACACATAGAGACACATAGAGACTGAGAGACACACAGAGACACATAGAGACTGAGACACACAGAGACACAGAGACTGAAAGACAGAGATACATAGAGAATCAGAGACACAGAGAGTGAGAGACACACAGATACACATAGAGACACAGAGACACACAGAGAGACATAGAGACACAGAGACACATAGAGACACAGAGACACATAGAGACACAGAGACTTAGAGACACACAGAGACTCAGAGACACACAGAGACACAGAGACTGAGAGACACGTAAAGACAGAGACACATAGAGACTCCGAGATGCCTAGAGACACATAGAAGCACACAGACACACAGAGACACACAGAGACACACAGACACACATAGACACACAGAGACACACAGAAACACAGAGACACACAGAGGCACATAGAGACTCAGAGACACAGAGACTGAGAGACACACAGAGACACATAGAGGCTCAGAGACACACATAGACACATAGAGGCTCAGAGACACATAGACACACAGAGACACACAGACACAGAGAGACTCAGAGACACATAGAGACACACAGAGACACACAGAGACAGAGAGACACAGAGACAGAGAGACACAGAGACTGAGAGACACAGAGACTGAGAGACACATAGAGACTCATAGACACATAGAGACACACAGAGACACAGAGACACATAGAGACACACAGAGACACAGAGACTCAGAGACACAGAGACTCAGAGACACATAGAGACTGAGATACACATAGAGACTGAGATACACAGAGACACAGAGAGACACACAGAGACTGAGAGACACACAGAGACTGAGAGACACACAGAGACTGAGACACACAGAGACACACAGAGAGACACAGAGACACAAAGAAACACAGAGAGACACACAGAGAGACACACAGAGACACATGCACATGAACTCTCTCTCCTCTGGTCGTCGCTAGCAGACCTCGACATCGGCCTCGAGCTCCTGAAGCAGACTGCTGCTGCCACCACGCGCGAGGAGAGAATAGGAGCAGAATCCTCAGAATCCGCAGTGCACAGAGACCCAGAGACACCGCATAGAGACCCGGGACTTTCATGGGCCGCTTTGCGACGCACCGCCTTCGTCTCTTCCCCTACGCGAGCGATGCGAAGTCCCGAACGCGACCCCCCGGGGGCCAGTCGCCATCGCCCGTCTCGTGCTGTGAACCCCGATGGACGAGCACACAACAAACAACCAACAACAACACGTGTTCGCGCTTCTCTCACCCGAGGAGGAGAGAAGGCGAGGGTGGACGATGGGAGGGAGGATGAGAGAAAAAAAGGATGAGAGGGAGGATGAGAGGGAGGATGAGAGGGAGGGAGGATGAGAGGGAGGATGAGAGAGTCGGCCTCAAGTAGTCGTCTCCACCACCACCACCACAACCCCGACCAAGGGGGTGGCCCCGTGGGCCAGACGCGAGGCTCTCTTCTTTATGCGCGAGGCGCGGGATTAAATCGATCCCTCGTGTCGCGAACTAATCCGATTATTCTGCCGCTCGTCTCTGACGTGGCCGAGTTTTCCAGTGGCGTCACGGCGGCACCCGTGCCAGGCTAGGTGCACTTTGTGGCGTCCCTTTCGGTTAACACGAGAGGGAACGGGGGGGGGGGGGTGGTGGTGGGCGCGACCCCAACTTAAATGTCTCCTAAATTAAGCTTTGGTTTTTGTTTTATTTTTATTCATCGTTTTATTATTTTTCTATCTACGTGACTTGACCGAAAGAACCAAAGAATATGAATCCCTGCGGTCACGAAAGTTTTAAGTCAAAAGTCTCCTGCATTGCTTTCTGTCCTTCCTTCTCCTCTCTCGTCAACGAATGGAACTTCTTGGTGCGCAAACCGATGTAACGAGTGAAGAAGAGCCACGGGGTGTCACGGGGGTGGGGGGCCTGGCTACTCACGGCTGCCGTGAAAGTCACTCGCAAGCCCCCTCCGTGAGCCAGGGGGCAGCGCCAAGGGGCACAGCGACTCAGCAACAACAACAACTCACGAGCGATACAACTCGCCTCCTCGCCCCGCCCCAGCAGTTGAGTGCAACTCGAGACAATTAGTGTAATGAGCCCCTCCTCATCCTCCTCCTGCTGCTTCTGCTGCGTGGCTCCGGAGTGCCGGCGAAAGCGCTTTTCTCGCCGGGATCCGATCGCCCGCCCTCTGTGCGGATTAACTCGGGCGAGTGACCACCTCCCCCCCCCCCCTGCTCATCCTCTTCTTCCTCCCGTTCATCCTCCTCCCGCTCATCCTCCTCCAACTCATCCTCCTCCCGCTCCTCCAACTCATCCTCCTTCTCCCGCTCATCCTTCTCCTCCCGCTCATCCTCCTCCTCCCGCTCCTCCTGCTCATCCTCCTCCTGCTCCTCCCGCTAGGGGTTGGAGAATCTCGTTTGCGAGGGTGTTCGGTGTCTCTGCGCCCTCCGTCGACGCGCACCTCACCAGCGTGGTGCAGTCCGGTCAAAAACGAGCACGATGACCGACACAGCGTGGTGTGCAGGGGGGGGGGGGCCTTTATCCAGCAGCGGATTGACAAAAGGCCGCGAATCATTTGGACGACGGCATGTCGGGCCAGCCGCAGGTGCTTGGGAGCTTTCGACGCACAAGCGGAATCTGTGGGGGGGGGGGGGGGGGGGGTCAACAGCTCGGCACTTCGTCCATCGAGGATGGAGACTTTCGAGTGCAGCGCCATTGTGAGATTTGACCCGCGCCCGCAATGTGGCATTGCCACCGCCTTAGTGGGGGCTGTAAATAGGCGAGGCCGCCTGTTTGAAGGGAAGTCCACGTTCACGATCGATTCTTCTCAATGATGACGGTGAAGCGGTTTTAGCGGGTGGATGGGTATGGGGACTGGGGTTTAACGTGTGCCCTCCACTCGACGGTCAGAGACTGATGGGCCGAGGAGAAATGGTTCTTTCAACGGCAGCATTCGGTCTTATACGAGGCCACGACCGATTTAATGACCAATTAGCGACGTTCTCACGACCAGCACGTGATCGTCCGAGCCACGTGGAAAGGCGGAGGAATCGGCAAGTGTTTAGAATCAACACCAGCGCCATCACTCATCCTCAACAGCCAACAACCACCACCAACCACGGAGCAGCATCGATGACCCATATCCAAGGGGTCCTGGCCTTAAACACCTGGCAGTTCACCAAAATTGGTTCAATCTTGACTGCTGTCGAGACACTGAATGTCGAATGCGATCCAGAGTTCGCTTGCTATCAGTGCCGGATGATCCTCGTAGCAAAAGTGGCTACACATGTAGCTACGGGCCCCGCACTTTCAAGGGCCCCGCGCTAAACGCTTCCAAGCTATCAATTGCGGTTCAGTGATTCTGCACTTGCTCTATTACTATAGTACTATACTGCCTTCTACTTTTATGAACGACTGGGTGTTTACGGTTAGCGATGTCGTATTATCTGGCTCAATATAAAATGAAAAAAATACAATTACTTGACTAGGCATAGGAAAAAAATGCGTGTTTTAATGTTTTTTTTTATTTAAGGCCCCTAAATGCTACAGGCCCCGCACTAGCTGCATCTGGCACCGCTTGCGATGAACCAATTCAACTCTGAGAACGCTGCGCGGGTGATGGGACACGTGCGAAAGTGTCACGTGGAGACGCAAATGCGAAGGCGGCGCACTGCCCGTGCATCTACACCACCACCACGGTTCAACTCGCATTCAAGTAATTCAACAAGAGATGGCGCGCGGAGTCATTGGCTGGCTTTTGTATAAAATGTTTATTGTATAAAAGTCAGTAAAGTGCTCGTTAAACAACACAAACGGCGGATTGGCGCGGCTGTCAGTCACGGTGAAGCGGACCCCCGCAGAGCCGCCACATACAACCTCTGTAAACACCACCCAGCGACGCGTCTGCGTGTTGACCGCTCTGCCTCGCTTCTCGTGCTTCATACTCCCCCCCGCCCCTCGCTCTCGCTCTCTCTCTCTCCCCCACGTCCTTAGAACTTTGTCGTTGGAGCGAAGACGGGGGAGGGAGGGGGGAAAATTAAACGTGAATTTAACAAAAGAAAATTGAATTTCCGAGAAGGCTAGGCGGGGGGGGGGGGGGATCCGGCACCAAATAAACGCTCCCCTCCAAACACAAGCCAGCGAGAGTCGAGGCGACGATGCCGGTCCGGTACAACTCTCACCAACAACAACACCACGAGGGAGAGGCAACTTGGGAACGGTGAAGGGGGCCCCGGTTGTTAGGGGTGGAACACCCTGGGTCAACGAGGGGGCGAGTACTCACCCTAACACGAACCACACTGGCTAACCAGACCATATATCTACACCCCCCAGACTCGAACCAAATTAACCACCCAGGCATTACCACTCGCTACCCCTTACTAATCATGCTAGCCACTGAAACTACAACCCTACCTCTACTCTTAAACCTAACTAGCCAACCCAGACCCCTACAGCCCTACCCCTAATACCAACCACACGAGCTAACTAATCCGAACCTAAAACTACTAGCCAAGAGCCGAAAGGACCCCAACCCTACCCCTGATCACACGCTAGCCAAGCAGACCCGCGAGCTCGCCCCAACCGGACTCCCCCCGCCCGTCCCAATTTCCCACGTTCTCTCCGTTTCACTCTCAGATGCTCAATTAAGTTTTTTTTTTTACCTTCCTCGCCCACTCCTTTTTTTTGTTGGGGGGGGGGGGGGGGGGAATAGTTTGTAAGAAAACTAAAAAAAAGTTCATTCAAAACCCGCCAGTCAGAAACGTCACAGCCGTCGTACGGCACCACGGAGTCACGAAGAGCTCGTGACGACGACTTCAGCTTGCATTAGTTTCGCCTGGCCTGGCCCCGCGGGGCACGGAGAGCGTGCGAGGGCCGCACTCGGGCGGAGGCCTCGACGCCACCCTCCCCCGTCTCTCCCTCAACCACCGTGGGAAGTATAGTTGGGTGCTTTTCTGCACCCCCACCACCCAGCTATATAAATTCTGTAGACTCATCCTGCACCTCGCTCGACACCTCTCTACGCGCACTTGTTTCTGTACGGCGTCTTGACAAGATGGGGGGGGGGGCGATTTGCAAGTAGACGCTATGCAAAAAAAATCCACGCTGTGTTGTACAAGTCGGCACCCCCACACTTTAGCTTCTTTAGGTTGGCACCACTGCCGGCATCATCGCGCAAGACCCCCCACCCCCCCCCCCCCGTCTCTCCACTCCCATTTCGGGGGGGGGGGGGGCGGGGAGTCTCGAAGGCAGCAGAGTAACCCTCGCCCTGTATCACAACAGCTCCACAGAAGTGGATATCAAAGAGCTACTTTCGAAGTCGCTTAAATTGCCTCACACACGGAGTGTCTGTCGCATGCCAAATCAACAGTTATGCCTCAAGCGCCGAAATCTTCACGGGGATTAAAATTGGCAACGAAAATTAAGCGATGGGAATTTGCTCAAGTTATTCGTGATCAGGCAGATACCTTCAACTCAAAATGCTTGAACCCAGTTTAAATCGCAGCAGAGGCGGTAACCGCGCGAGGTTGAACGCGAGTGTCGATTCACGAGTAACGGAGCTTTGCAAGCACCATGCAGGCTTGAGGATGCTCCCCACGCGTTACCGGGAGCACTGAAAGCAGCTTGGCTCCCAATGTTTGTCAAAAGCCAAAGTGATCTCCTGCTGAACTTGAGCATTGAAGGCCGGGTGCTTCTCTCGTCACAGCTCTCAGCCAGGAGTGGAAATTCCACGTTCCTATAGCAAGGGGAGGGGGGCAAATTTATCCTTAAGGGCACCCACCAGTCATCTTCCCCACACAATGGCGATGGGCCGAGTCAATCTCTCCAACCAGGATGTGAACTCGCAGCGACCTTCCGAGAGAGCGCGCTGCTCACTCTGCCACCAGAGCTACCACCTGGCCGGATATCCACGCCCGAGTGTGGGTCGGGTTCTGTGCAGCAATGAGACTCCATTGCCGTGGAACCGACCACAGCAGCATTCCATACAGTTCTGAACTAGTCACGTACACACACGCTGTAGTCTATTTAGTCTTATTGACTCTTGGGCAAGTGATGTTAGCGAGCACCTACTAAGGCCGGCAACGTCACTTGACAGGGTGGCCAGAACAACTTCTGGCCACCTTTGTATCCCCAGTGCTCATGTTCACACACCACAACAGATACTTGAACTAGGGGAGGGTACGGACTGGTTCACTGCCGATGTTGTGCGTGGCCAGGAATCGAACCCAGGTTTACCGTGCCATAGCTCAGCGCGAGCAGCATTGCCTCATCACTGCCCACACATTTCACAAACACATTTCACGCACACGGGCGAGTCGGGTAGAGACTGGCTCACCAGAATCATCATCCCCGCCAAGTCTCAGTGTCTCGACATCACGAGGTCACCCGCTGCCGAGACAGCCACAGAACCAGCCCGAGGCCCGCGGCAACAAAAATCACCAGCTCGCAGGCAAAGCAATCGTCCAGCTAAGAAGTCACACCAGCCACGTCAATGGCAGCACAGCTTTACGTGTCGGCAGGAAGCGATACAAATTGTCCGCGTCATTTCGTAGACCCCTTTAATGTTTGTCTGGGAAAGCCTCGCCAATGACTCGCTTTCCGGAGGGTCTTGCCTCGCGATGCGCGGCCGATTACTTTTTAACGAGCGTTTGCGCGCACGTGGGATTTATACCGCAGGAAACCTAACTTGCACACCTGCAGGATAAGCGTGCAAAAAGTCCGCAGACCGAACGGCAGGCCAATTGCTGCAACGGCGGCGGTACACAGCAAGCGGGTTTGCTGAACCGCCGTAAAAAAAAATAAAAAAAAAATTTGGCCACCTGGAAAGCCCCGCGGCGGGGCCGGCGGCGTCGTCGCCGCACGCGACAATCTCCACGGCGGCCGCGACCGAGACGCGGAGCGCGGTGCTCGTGGGAGCCTGCCACGGCGCCACTCGGCTCCATCGCCGAGCCGAGCGGGGGCACCGCCGCGCCCGGTGCCCCCCCCCCCCCCCCCCCTCGGCTCGCGGCGAGGGCACCGCGCGGCCCGCACGCCCCGCGTGCTGGTCGCGCGGCGCGCCATTGCATAGGAATGTCACCACCCGGAGCGCAAGCCCGAACAAGGGGGATGAGCGCGTCCTCCGGCCCAACCCACGCGCCGCCAGCGAAGCGCGATAACGATGACAATAATGCCACCATTCTCCTCCGCTCTCGGTGCTCACGGTTACGTTGCGTCTCTGCGCGTGAGCAAATCAAACTTTAGAACATCCGGAGAGCTCGTAAAATAAAATATAGAAAATTATAACACTTAAATTTATAGCCATACTTTGTTTGGACTGCTATATATAAAAAACACACAAATTATGAAAATAATAATGGTTTTTGACAACAAAAACGAACCCAGCGTGACCCCAGCGTCGAGGTACTGGGGGAGGAGGACTCAAGGAGCCACGGGCGAGGGCGATCACACCACGGCCAAGAAAACACCACCACAAATGGTCAACAGCTGGCTTTGTATTAATGGAGCGAGCACCTCTACGCTGTTGACCACAGCGCGGCACTGGAGCCAGGCCTCAGAGGCCCCAGGGGAAAACACACAAACGGTGAGCAGCTCAAACCTCGACCGGCTCCGTCATCGTTAGGTTTACCCGAAATATAATTATATATAATTACCACGCAACGCCTCTTTTACCTGTACAAACGCCTCTGCCATGCTTTTCCTTCTTCCTTAAATCAAAGACAAAGTTTCCGTTTTGACAATAACGAGCGACTATTTCCGCACCGAGCCGCCTCGTCGCACCTCCACCTGTCAGTTTGCCCCCAGTGGCATCTTGGCACAATTTTATTTTTCCTTACGAGGGTCCCTAGGCCCGGAACTTGAAAGCCAAGCTCCCCTTACGCCGCCACGTCCGGTGGCCTCGCTCTGCACTAAACGAGAATCACCGCTGGCACTGGGTTGGGAGGCTCCGACCCAACCCATCTCCCCCCTCTGCTCCGCCAGAGCGCTGCGATCACGATGGTGGGAAGGGTAGGGGGTGGTATTAAAGCTCTGAGCGCAGTGCCGGATAACGAGACGAAACTCCGGGGGAAGTGGAAACTTCCGTGTGCAGACCCCAATCAAACAAAAGGCACAAACCCAAAGAAGTGCTAGACCAAGGGGAGTCAGTGCCACAATAAATTCGTGAATTCAAAACGCAAACTGCGGGAGTGGAAGGTTGGGGGGCTAGGATTTGATGGCCACGACGCCGTGCCGTGCCAGACCCGGGAGAAGCCGCCGTGCTAAGAGGCTCCCCCGACCAGGCCCAGCGCCGCGTCGTGCTGCTGCTGCTGCTGCTGCCCCCCCCGCATGGACGCCCGGCGCTTTGCCAGCCGCGACTTGGACGGGGGGGAGAGGCTGAAGGGGCAGAACGGCCGCGTGGACGGCGGCCGTGACAACGGTGGCCGGGATCTGGGGCTGCCGGGGAAACAGGCGCCCACCACCCCCTCCCACCCGTCGTCCTCCTCTTCCTCCTCTTCCTCCTCCTCCCCGCCGCCGCGCTGGTCCAGCCGCCGTGTCAGGGCGACGGCGTCGGCGGTGAACCGAGTGAGGTCCTTGGCGCTGGCGTTCCTGCGCGTGGGGGGGGGGGGAAGAGAGGGGGGGGAACGATAGGCGGGCCCGTGAGAATGTTTTCTAAAACAAACGGGCGCGAGCGGCGATTGTTTTTTGTTACTATATAAAATTGAACAAACGGCACAAGCGATGCCACTTGAGCGCTGCAATGGGGTGCCTGGTTGTCGTGCAGACCGGCGCCCGTCACAGAAATGTAGAATTTCTGGCACTGGCTTATTTATTATGGTGCCGTGGGTTCTCACCTGAGTAGAAGCTGCGGGGTGGACAGCGTCTGGCGAGGGGCGTCCTGCAGGAGACAAAACAAACATCCCCACGTCAGCACAAACTCCTCCACGGGGGCACGCACACAGTACACACACACACACAGACACACAGCCACACACGTACACGGTATGCACACACGGCACACTAGCCATTTAGGTTTTTTTTAACTCAGTTTGCAAAGGACAGGCCCAAAACGTCAAACAGTCAACAACAAACAGCACCATCAAAGTTTAAAATGGTAATAATTAACAATTTATCTGGACAATTTAGCAAGGCAATTGTAAGAGACTGGTTAAAGAGACTACGTGAGGGTGTTCCCAAGGGAGGGCGATGCGAGGGAAAGAAGCAGAACGGGAAGTGTTGTGACCTGCAGTGTGGTGGGCTGAACAGTGTGGATGAGACAAAACGGTCAGTATCTTGTAGACCAAGTCCACAAACCGTGGGAGAGGAATAAACGACAAGTTCACTGGACCGTGTCAATCCACTGCTGGATGAGTGCTTCCCCCATGCCTGTGCGTGCGTGCGAGCCATCGTGCGTCGCTCACCCCAGCTACCCACGGGTGCCGCAGCACCTGCACGGCGCTGAGCCGGGCCTTGGCGTCGGGCAGCAGCAGGTTTGAGATGAGGTGCTTCGCGGCAGCCGAGACGTTCTTCCAGTCCTTCTCTGGGAAGCAGTAGTGCCCGGCCTGGATGCGCTCAAACAGCATCGTCTGCGCGCACACGCACACCCGACACGCAATGCTGTGGCAAGGCCGCGTGCGGTTCCAGGACGCGCGCACACACATACTGCACCTGATACAATTCACTGTAAAGCAGTTAGGGGGATTGATGATCCAGCACTCTGATTAATTCCACTCATCAGCGGTCAGCCACCTTCTTTTGCTACTATTATGGTTACTGTTCCCCACGAACTTCACCCGTTGATGACTCAGGTGTACCAGACACTGTCCCGTTTCATTTAATCGGCACTGCAGGTCGCACTACACTCGCTCACCCACAACACTGCAGGTGAGAACACTTTCTGCTTCCACTCTCGAATTCCATCCCATCGTCTGTTTTCACAAGCCATCGCAATAACCTTGCTCAGTCACAAGACACGTGTGAATTGCTAACCATTACCATCTCCACCCCTCCGTACACACGCACGCGTAGGCTGGCCGTACCTGGCAGGCGTGGCACGCCTCCCCGCGCTCCCAGCCGCAGTCACTGCCGCAATTCCCAACGAAGGGCGGCGACCCGCTGAGCATTATGTAGAGGATGACCCCGAGGCTCCACAGGTCGCAGCGCTTGTCGTAGATGGAGGCTTCCTCGCTGAACGCCTCCACCACCTCGGGGGCCATGAATTCTGCAGAGCCACACTGCGGGCCCACGGCACATCGGTCGCCGTCGTTATTCATCGGCCCACCGGGATTCTCTCCCACACCGCCGGCACTTACGGACGGTCGTCGGTAACATTTCAGCCGGCGACAAACAACCACAGATGCGCCACCGCAGGCAGACACGGGCTGTTACACCACCACCACGCAAATCCCACCACAAGCAGCAAGCACAGATTCCTCTCCAACCCCCAGCCCAGACAGCATCCCCATGGTGCACGCGCGTGGGGGTTAGCGCTGCGAGCTGCTCGCCGGCCGCTAGGTGGCGTGGGGGGCCCATCTCTGCCGTGCGGCCGCTTGGTACCCACGCGTCACTGCACCGACCGGCGCGTGGGGCTTCTAAGCAGCGCGACGGCCGGAGCTCAACGCTTTGAAGAAGCGGTTGCTCAACTCGTACACAGCGGCTACACTCATCCTGCTTTAAACATCTCCGTGGGGAAGGCGTAGAGCCTGCAGATTGGGCCCCTGTGCAAGCTCAAAAAAATCTGAGCGCCCGTTCGTGGTGCTTGTTAGCGACGATGCCATTGTGGCGAGTTTCGTTTTTACATCTTCACGAAAAGAGTTTGCGAGCGCTCGTCGATTGGGACAGGGCTTGGGGCAGGACACGTCGCCACGGGGATCAAGGCCGACGGTCAAGAAGTGACCACGCGCGAACGAGTTTGAGAGGACATCCACCGTCGAGATGGAGTGATTTAAATCGGCTTGTGTGCAAGGTGCGAGTTCTAGTGAGCATTGAATCTCAAATAAATTCTCGGTGCGTGCTTCTCCATTAATAATGCCAACCTCGTGTCCTTTCTAAAAAAGGCGTAAAATAACCCGGCACCTCATTCCAACGGTGCCCACTCCCCCAGGCATACATACACACACAAAAGACAAAGACCCCACCCCGTATAGACTTAACAGCCTCTTGGGGCAAGTGCTGTTAGTGAGCACCTATGAAAGGGCAGCACAGTACACGAGGGGTGTGGGTGGTAAGCAACCTGCCCAACCGCCTCTCTCAGGAGTGGCAATGTCTACAGCGGACCAGGTACTCTGAGGCTCAGTCAACCGAAGGGAGGCCCAGGACCGGTTCATATAATCGTCACTGGTTTTGGCTACGAGCGGGAGTCGAACTCGGATTGCCGGGTTCGTAGTGCAGCACGCCAACCACTGGGCCACCGCTCCCCATCACAGACACACGAGCATGAATGCGGCGGTGTTTGCGAGGCTTCACTGTGGAATGGGGAACTCTCGCTGTGGTTTGTGTTTGCGGCTCTGAGCGGGCGCTGATCAGTGTTCATCTCGTTTATAGATTCCGGTACGAGCCTGAGAACTCACACACGCACCCATCCTCACCACACTCACACCCATCCCTCCTTCCCTCCCCACCACACTCACGATAAACAACCATCCCTCCCCTCAACATATCCTCACACCCATCCCTTCTGACCACACTCACACAAAACCGAGACAAATGCGGTGAGCAGGCCCCTATTAAGGCCAACAGCACGTGGTGATTGCGATGCAAGCACAATGCCTGGCCACCTTTGTATCCCCCCCCCCCCGCCAACATTCACACTTGGCAGCAGCAGGTACTTTTCAAGCTGGATAAACTTGGCAAAAGGGCCCGGATAAAATGTGTGACCAATGCGAGCCTTAGCCATTAGCGTACTGGAAATAAACCTACCAGAGACAAAAAAACGCACACAGCCACACACAAGCATGCAAAACACAGAGTGCACACAACGGCCATGTGACAGGCCGAAGTGTTGTTTACCTATCTTCATTGTTTGGTTTTTTGGCCGCAGAACTTTGACACAAACGTCCATCACTGGCTCCACACAGACTCGCCCCCCCCCCCCCCCCCCCCGTTCCTGTTCCACCCACCCAGCTCAGCCATCTGTGCCCAGAGTAGAATCCCCACCCACTCCTCCCCCCACCAGCAGCAGCAAACACAGGCCACTTTGCCCACCCTCCCAGCTTCGCCCATCCAATCAGACGCGCTCGCTGCGAGACACAACAGCGCAGCTGCCAGGACGCACGTACTACACAAGAGCACACACACAAGCATAGCTCTGGTTCAATCCGGCTGAGATCCAGTCACATCCCAAAGTTTCTCTCCCTCCTCGTCAGCCCTCACCCTCTCCTCAAGCTGCACGACCACCAATTCAACTCCCGACCTTCCACACAATGCCTGCGGCGTGCGCACTTGCTGGCACAAGTGCTGTGTTGGCGAGCGCCTACAAAAAGGCAATTGTGGCGTACGCGATGACAGCGGTGTGGCCAACATCACGCCCGGCCGCATTTGTCTCTCCATCGTTCACGTTCACCCACTCGTTTTAAAGCCCGAGTTGACCCAGGAAAAGTTCAATTAACATGCCACTGATGTAAGTTGTGGCCCGGACTGGAACTCAGATCTGCAGGTACATTGTGCAGTGCATTAACGATTACACTACTAACCCCCCCCCCCCCCCCCCCCGACTTCCCTGCACAACTTAATGCCAATGCAGCAATTGACCGACTCCCATTAAATCCTTCCACAGCCGCCCCCACGCATCTCTCCCCCCCCGCTCTTCCACTCTCCCCTGCCTCGCCCTCCCCATGGCCCTAGCAGCAGATGTTGCGTATTAACACGCCGGAGAAACAAAGAGAGGGGCGCCTGCACAGCTTGCGCATGAACCAAGGGCTCGTGCGTCACGCGCCCTCCCCCCCCCCGCCCCGTGAACGCCTCCCTGTGCTATGCAACATTCCTACAGAAACAAAATATGTTTTTCTCCAGCCAAAGCTATCTGCCATTGGCGGCTCGCAGGCTGCGAGGGAAAAGTGTCGATTGCACGTGACCGCGGCCTTGACTGGAGACGAACGCAAATCCCATGATGCACTGCTGCCTCACAACGCTCTGCATTTCTAATTTAAATCCGTCAGTTTGACCGTTTTTCAATTATTTGATTGACAAAAAACGCCCAAAAAACCACACAGCGGCACAACCCAGTGTCAGAGCCACACAAACCACGAAGTTTCTCCCCGTTGCTTACACGGGTTGTTGAGCAACCGCGAGCACTTGCCGGCTTGGTATGTATGTTGAACTTCTTTCGCACAGTACGTAGTCAACCGTGCTAAATCGGACAGTACACGAGGTGGACGGACACCACGATGGCCCGGCCACGTTTGTTTTACCAGTGGTGCTGTTACACACAACAGTACTCATTTATGACCGAGCCGACCTAATGAGGGCCCAGGAACGGTTCAAATATTCCTCAATGATATTGGGCAAGAGTGGTAATTGAACGTGCCTCGTCAGGTGAGTAGCAGTGTACTAACCACTGCACTACCACCCCACTAAATACACACCCACAACCAAGCGACACACACACAAACGCAGAAATGTAATGATTGGATGGAAGGGATGGTGGCGAGGGTGGTGCATGTGGGAGCGGTGCGTGTGCTCACCGGGGTGAGCAGCTCGGGGGTGGTGACAGGCGAACAGGCACTGCTCAGCTTCATGCTGCTCCCCAGGTCAAAGTCACAAATCTTCACGGGCGAAACCTGCGCCCAGGAAACGCGACAACGCGCGGGAGGTGAACAACCAGCAAGAGCAATCGACAAGACCGCGGCGCGCACAGATGAACCACCTGCGTGCCCATCTCCCAGGAGAGGTCAAATTTGGCATCGTCAAGTGGAGCAGCCGGCGATCGCTGCGATCGACGATGGCACCCAAACGAGCCGCTCTGTTAGACAACAGCCAACGCCGAGCCCGCGCCTTCCTCGCGGGTCAAGCACCGCGGCCGCGTGGTCCAGGCTGTCACGAGTATAATTATAATAATAAAACATCAAGTCATGGCTTCGCGAGAGACTTGGCGCCCTGGTGACACCACATTGGTGCGATGTTTGCAAGGTGTTAAATTGCCAACAAGAGACTGCTTGCTGCTGCTGTGGTTTTGGTCACGTTAGAACCATCCCACGAAACAGCAATGTGGCAAAGGCAACCGTGGCGCTAGTGGGCGAACAACTGAGATGAAGTTGGCGGCACGTGCATGGAGATTAATTATGATTATACTTAACGACCCAAGAAAGCCTCAGCTTTAAGGCCAAGATTTTTCAGTCAGGGGTGATGTTGCTATGTGCAATCCCAGAGGAAGCCAATGCAGAACAAGGGGGAGAACGTACAAACACACAAAAGGCACCCGAGTTGGGAACTGAAGTCACGAGTGCTACCACTGTGACCCTCTGCCCTCGGAAATACAGAACCATGGCCAAAAGGTGATTTATGACGATTACTACAAAGTTAAGTTTGTGCCCGACAGTAGATTTAAAGTTTTAAACGAATCTTGAACCAGGGACACAGCCAGGGTGTGCGGCTACAAGCAGGACGATGGCCGGTTGTGTTTGTACGTGATAGCCGAGCGGGTACCTGGTGGGGATTTTCGCACAGAATGTTCTCCGGTTTGAGGTCACGGTGTGCAATTCCTGGAAACAAGAGCGGCGGGGAACGGAACATTAACAAGAACATTTTTTTGCAGGGTCACCATGGTCAACAAACAGGTGAGAGGTCTACAGCGTCGGGCGAATGCGGTCGTGAAAAAGCGACAGCCTTGGTGATCTCCCCCCTCCCGCCCCAGCCCACACTGCTCCAGTTGAATGACTCTTGGCACGACGACAGTGCGAGCTTTGCCCTCCACGCTCTTCTCTCGCTGCTGTATTATCAAAATCATCGTGTCTCTACGCTTCAGCTATTTGCCGTTTGCATCGTTCACTTTGGTCACGGGACGAAGACCATTTCCCCCCCGCACCCGTTGGCAATCATGGCAAAATGGCTTCCACGTCACACCGACGTCGCTCAGCGACTTGCGAGGGTACTTTAATGTCGCCGTCTCTACCCACACTGCAGACACTGCCACCACCTTCACTCTCTATGGAGTGTCGGTGACATCACCACAGCGCTTGTGCCAGGCTAGATGCACTTTGAGGCCACAACACTCAAAATACTCACCCACCCCACTCACCACACTGCAGGTCTCACACCATTTCTCTTTCTGCTTCTACCCTCACACTGCTCACTTTGAAATTCCCTCGAATAATGACTGGGCTGAAACCATCAACTCCCTACACGAGAGAACCAGATTCATTTCTTCATCTACCTCAAAGTGATGGGCTGAAATTGTAATCATCACCTTGAGTCAATCTCTGTTAAAATCAGGTGAAACTCTCAAAACTTCTAAGCTGCGAGGTAGCCAGCAGCTGGAAATCAAGCAAGTTGAGGGCGGCAACCAATCCCACAAGGATCTTAGAAGGCATCCATGCACACTCCAAGCGATGTGTTTTTTTCTCTCTCCAGATTCTCTCAGCTGCCCTCGTTTAAAAAAAAGCATCGGCTAAACATTGAGATCAGGATCCTCCTGAAGGAGGAGACTCAGCGAGACGTACCCTTCTGGTGCAGGAAGTGGAGGGCGGTGGCGATGTCGCGCACCACCTCGCTTGCCTCCTGCTCGCTGAAGTGTCCTCTGCGCTGGATTTGGGCCAAAACAGTTCCTGCAGAGGAGGCCGCACAACCAGGCACAGCATGAGCCACTTGCCGCCATGTGTTGGGTTTTCACAGCCAATATAAGCGCTATTGTGATTCAATGGACTTTGTGGCTGGAATACATAATCTTTCGTCATGCAACTCTCCACCAACCAAACATTGCCAAACAAAGTACACTGTCAGCCCAAAATGATTTTTTTCAACTCAACAGTAAGTTGGAGAACACTAACAATTGGCACATTAAAACGCTTGCGTACAATTTAATTTGTTTGGCTGTCGGGTGATCAAGGGTTACAAGACAAAAAATGTGGCCATATAATTAGATGGCCAGAGCCAAAAATACGATACGAATCATGATGGTTTAGTTTTCATAAACTGCTATTCATGCAAATCGCATCTGAAAAACACTGCAACGTGCGCAGTTCCTACGCGGAGGGGAAACCAGACGCACGTTTGAAGGTAGTCACAAATCGGGGCGAGTAATTTGCCAAGAATTTAGGATCCAATTTTTTTTTATATATTTGGCCAACTCCATCAATCATACAGAACCGCTCTCTAGTTTTAACCATGTTTAGCCGTCAGTTGATGCATTACGAACGCTCGCTCACCTCCTCTCATCTTTTCAAACACCAGGTAGAAGCGGTCGTCCTCCTCGAAAAATTCAATCAACTGCAGAATGTTGCTGAAAAGACAACGTTTACAACATTCATATGGTGGTCGTAATCAACGCAAGCAAAGTCGAAGCCATTTTCCTGCTCAAATGAGCAGGGGCGGTGCTGCTCTCTCTCACGTTAATAGCCGAGCCATTGGTGGATATGCCACATTCCTATGGCAGGTGCGAGTTCATCCGTAGAATACCGTTGACTTACCAGTGTGGTAATCATTATCGAACCCAGAGGAATGATGGGCTGAAATCAGCCAAATCAACCCCCAACCAGGGATTTGAACTCACAACCTTCCAATTGAGAGGCGCTCTCTACTACAGAGCCATAAACATTTGAATACAACAAGGCTTTAATCGGCATTCAGGAAAGCCTCATTCGAGTCTTAAGACTCTTTGGAGGGTGCTGCGCAAGGGCATTGACACCTTTTTGATCAGGCATTTGTTTAAAAAAAATGGGGCAAGTGGCATTTCAAGTGAACAGAAATCAACACAAATGCAGCAATGTGGGCAATTCCATCAAGTGTCGGAGTTGAAAATCCGAGCTTACTGCAGAGAAACTGTGCATATAAACGAGGGGTGTTAGCGGAAACGGAAGATGATGATAGGGTCAGTGTAAAGAAAAAGATAGCAACAGGTGATGCAAACTCAAGCGAGATTTAGAAACCGAGCGTTGACGGGGATTTTCCGGAAACCACTGCCGCCGCCACCACCACCACCAGGTCATCGTTATAATCAACCAAGCCAGAGTGATGCAACACTCACTCATTGCCTTGGCACTGGTACAAAATCTCCACTTCCTTAAACACCCTATTGCGGCTGTGCCCTGCAGTCTTCTCGATGACCTGGAAGCACAGGGGAGAAAAACGCGCAAGCTTCGTCACAGCGACTCGCTCACACCGCGCCTCTGTGCCACCCTCCTCTGTGCCAACCCCCTTCCTCAGATCCCCACGCCCCTGCCCACCCTAACCACACAATTATATTCCGACTGGGCTATTATTATCCTGCTGCGATAAAATACATTTCCATGAGATAAGAAGTTTACATTCGTCGGGGAACGGCTCCCAGTAGAGGACGTGACAGAACTAGTTCTGGAGGCAACTTCACAATTGGCCCATTTACCCACATGCAAGACAAGACCGCTCCAAGTCCTGAAGATAACGTTCGTCGTCACACGCCAATCAATATTAAACACGAGCTAAACCAGATTTCACTATATTTGCCACAGTAATTCTCATCTGGTGACAATAACAATGATATTTCACTCTCACAGTCAGATTCCAAGTAAAACAACATTAAACGTAATGATATGTGCAGTTATTGGTGACCTCAATCGTGGTGGAGGCACCGTCCCCCCACGCACGCCTTGCATGCGAGGTGTTTGGCCAAAGTGAATGAAACCAAGTTAATGTGTTTATTTGTCGTCATTGGTGACCAGGCCGAGACTCTGAACTTGCTCAACTTGACATCGTGGCTTAAATCACGGACGAAACCAGGATTCGAACTCGGGAACTTAATCTGGAAGGCTAGCTCCGTGTCCGTGACACGACCATTATAAACCTGGCCACCCAGGCTATCTTTCTATGGGCAGTTCACCGTTTGTTTTTTTTACCAAAGTGGCTCCCACAGCTGCGCACATACAAGCAAACCCCAAACCCTGCTAAATGTCACAGGGCTCGCTGCGACGTTCACAGGCGCCGCCATAACCACTCGGCTCTTCTCTTGTAGCCGCCACACACATCGGGCTGCATGTCCCGGGCTATGGACGTGTTACCCCCCCCCCCTCGCACAGGGTGGGTTTTCGTAGACCCACGTATATAAGCACCCATTAGTGGAGTTGACCACACATCAATGGGGGAATCAGAGTTGTTTGGGCAATTGTTGGCAGAAGTTAAATAGCTGCCTTCCCGCGAGTCTGATTACCCCACACTTGCGTACGAAAACTATGCACAATACAAATTCTACAGCGCTCGAGGTGTGATTGACAAAAATTATGCTCTTAAAAAAAACATTAAGTTATTACATCTGGATTTTACCTGCCACTTCCCTTAAATAATGAATGCCAGTGTGCATTCATTACACAAATCCCTTGCGCGTCACTAAACGAGTCTGGTTTCTTGTTAACCAGGAATGCAGCACAGGTTTCAAATTAAACGACAGTGCTGCTGCACTATAGAACCTTAAATAACTTCACCACCACCTACAACCGCTGGCCTTCAGTAAAATTCTATATTTGTAAAACAAAAATTTGGGGCAGCAGCACTTCCTGCAATGCAACGCCACCGCCAACGTAAACGCTGACATTTTTATTTTAAGGACAAACGCCCACTCGGATGAAAACAAGCGCGCACACGTGCACCGATTGAAAAGGTAATTGTGTCCAGCCATTTCCACAACATCCGCGCGATTTGCAAGTCGACTCAACACACCACGTAGAATTTATTTCGTACCGTACGCAGCCATGTATAAAATGAGTACCGATTTGTGAAAAGTCAACGATAATTATTTTTATTCCTCTGAAAAGCTTCAATAACCCAACGACCAGGAGGGCCCTGCTGCATTAGAATCTTGGGCCAATTCCATTAACGAGTCTGCCTTCCAAAGAAAACTCCACACTGTATACGAGGATTGCCACTCTGCGCCACATAGCTGGATTTAATCTATTCTTGCAACTGCCGTGTCCTGACCACCTCACAGCCAAAGCATACAACACCTGGTATTCCCAAACAGCCTCCCATCCAAGTACATGGCAGCTGTCGAGATCTGATGAGACTTGGCGCATTCAAGGAGATTTGATCGTATGCGTTGTGGTCAGTCATCAAGACCGGTGGGCGAATCGCCCGTAGGTGTTCACTACACATTGTCATTTGTTTCCCACTTTCCTTTGTCTTGTGCCACTATGCTTAAGTAGCGCACAACTTTCTGGCACCAATCTCATGTTCGCCATCAACGCATTCTGTGTTCGGTCTTCCTTTCCCTGCCTTCCATTTTTTCTGAACACACTTTACATTAACCCCCCCCCCCCCTCCACTTCACAAAAGAGTGCAGAAGTGTGGTCACAACATCTACACCTCTATATAAGGAACGAAACAGATTTCTCCACAAATCTGGCTGTCGCCCGATGAAGCTAGTTGTCATTACTGGCAAAACGTCGTACTCGAATTGTAAATGTTGTGGATTTGCTCTCCAACACACCGGTGTGCTGTATTAGTGACGAATTGGCATGTTATTTTTATGTGACAACCCTCACTAGTTGGCCGTGTCGGGTTTTAACGACACATTTATATATTTACGCGATTCAACCCAAAAAAAACACTATTATGGACACTGTAGAAATGTTCCTGTTGTCCATCCTATACGTGTCCAAATAGGTCTCAGTTTCCTTGTCACTGCCTGCATCAGGTCTTCTTCTATGTAATGGTCACTCGGCCTATGGTTATACCAGCTCCTGGCATGGGAATGTAAAATGTTCCACCACCACCCTCAAGGTGAGCCCCATTGGATTTTTTCAGCAAGGAGACTGAATGGACCGTGGGAGATGCAGCCTCGCTGTGTGCCGAGTAACAGCCGCCGAAGGGGCCTCGGGTCTGGCACCGATCCCTGATGATCACAGCAATTGGGTCGATAAACTCAGGAGTCGAGAATAACCCAGCACAACCAAGTTTTAGCTGAAGCCCTTATTTAGCAATACTGTACCTGCCTCTTTGGAACTTAAACTTAATGCATACCTTTGTCAAACCACTGCTGGTCTCATGCCATCAGTCACAAGTGTTGTTTGACCATACTTCACAATGTTGGTCAGTGTCTGTTTGTGAAGGGGGCACCCTTGATTGTGTTAGGAATCACGAGCCACTGTTAAACGTGGCCGGGAACATAACCCAGGTTTCATAACGCTTGCAATAACCACAGTGCCACTATTCCAATACTTAAAACTGTTAACCATGCATTTTTCCTATTGCTTCACGTTGTTTTTTTTCTGCATTGCGTCATGGTTTGAGTGTGCATGCTGCTGCTCTGACCTCGTATCCCACCGAGCCTTAATTTGCTTCTGTGCCCCAGGTCTCCCTTTAGAGACCTTTACTCCGTGCCCACAAAAATCTTGCCAGTTCTCAGCGTTGGTTCGAGCAAGCCTGGCTCTGCCGATTAGCGACACCAAATGTCTAAACCCGGTCCATTTACTTGTACTGAAACAATGCTGATGAAATCATGTACTGTGCTGCCAAAAGGCCGTATTGGCTGATGGGATGTGTATAAAAAAACGTATTTTCATGTGAACAGGTATGTAAAAGTGGCGATTTCCGCTTGTTTATTGCGACTTAAGAATTGCCCACTATGAAACCGATGGTGTTAAGTCTCAAAACGGCTATTGCCGGGCATTAAATGATCCAGGTCATCTGTGCAGGGCCACGGCCTAACGAATTTCGCCCGCTCTGCCTATACTGCAGCGGCGGAGGAACGCGATGAACCAGCGTCAGTGTGTCTCGCGTTCTGGCAGCCAACCAACCCAACACCAGCGATTCCTCCACCCAATAAACCCAAAACACACAATTTCACCTCTTTCACGGAGGGTTTGGAGCATCGCAACGCTTCCAGCGGGCTGCACCCTCCCCCCAAAACCGTGTTTACATTGCTGCGGGGAAGCGACCGCCACAAAAATAGAAACCGCGGCCCGCCCTTTGACCCCTCCCACGCCCGCCCCCTTGGGCCGCGCCTCGGCCAATCGGAGGCGGCCGCGCGGTGGGGTGATGCAGGGTGGCAGCAGCTGACGGCTGCCAATAGCCAGAGACTTTACCTCCGAGTGACGCTGCGAGTTCACCTCGCGACTTCATTATAGACAAGTGGTTGTTTCGACTTAGAAACTTTCGTTGACTGCGGGAATTAATACGAATTGGTTCTTTCGGTAAAAGTCACGTAGATAGAAAATAAATACTAAAAAAAAAACACACGACGTTTCGATCGCAACACATAACGACCGCTTGTGTTGCGATCGAGAAGCGTCGTGTTTTTATTTTAATTTTCTATCTACGTGACTTTACCGAAAGAACAAAAGAATAACAAGTGGTTGTTGTTGCCGTTCCAGCATGACGACACTCGGAATGTTGCAATGACGCCGTTATTAGCCGGCCAATTTTTGTTTAAATATATCTTTAAAGCACTCGCAACAACTTGCAAGTGTTACGGGCGGAGTAGCTGCACCCATACATCTTTGGTTCTTTCGGTAAAGTCACGTAGGTGAAAAATAAAAGTTAATTAAATCACGACGTTTCGGATGCAACACAAGCGTCCGTCATCAGGTGGGAAACAATCACAGCAAAAATAAAACGGTTGCTGGAAATAGGCATCCGAAACGTCGTGATTTAATTCACTTTTATTTATTTTGAATTTTTATTTTTTCACCTACGTGACTTTACCGAAAGAAAACCGAAGGGTATGGGATCCTTGCAGTCACGAAAACTTCAAATCTAGAATGGCTGCAACCACTCATCATCTCCCGTCTTTCTTCCTTGAGTGTGCGAGTGACTTGGGGGGGTGTGTGTTTTGTTGTGTTGAGACTCGGGAGTAGGGGGAATTACTGCCTCAACGAGATGCGAATCTATCGAAGGGATTTTCCAAGCAAAATATTGTTTAAAAATTTACCCCCAAAAAACACCCCTAGCAGCACTTATCGACAGTGGCTCCTATTTCACTAAAACTCTCACCGTGGAGAACGCGATGTGTCGATACGTCAAGACGGGACAACGCGATTATCGCACGCACCCCGTAGCCCTGTTGTGTACAAAGACAGGGCCCTCCCCCCCCCCCCCCGGGCAAGTGATGTTTGCGAGCACCTATTAAGGCAGGCACGGCACATATGGAGGGGGGGGTGGGTGTGGTCAGCACCACGCCCGGCCGCCTTAGTCTCCCCAAGTGACGATGTTTACTACACACCACTGCACCAGGTACTCATTTGAGGCCGAGTCGACCTGGGGGGGGGGGGAGGGCCTAGGACCGGTTCAGATAATCGTCACCGGTGTTGGCCGCGTGCGGGATTCGAACTCGGGTCGCCGGGGTTCGTAGCGCAGCGCGCTAACCGCTACACCCACCGCTCCCATTACAATGACAAAATAACCCTCCCCCCCCCCCTGTATAGCCTCAACAGACTGTCGGGGCAAGTGCTGTTGAGCGAGCAGCAGCAGCAGCGGCACACCGAAAAAGGCCACACACACACACGAAAAGCCCTCCACACCACGGTCTGTGCTGGCCAGCCACCGACTGCCCTAAACTTTAACGACGACCTGGGCCGGCCAGGAGAGCTTCCACACCCCTGAGGAGCTGGCAACGGGAGCCGCGCACAACCGGATCACACCGGCCACGGCGGGCGGGCGGGTAGGGGGGGGGAGCTTCCCCTTCAGACTCCACTGCTATTGGCCAGTGCAGCGTCACGGCAGGCCGCCGCTGTTGCCAGGCAGAAACAGGCGCGGGAACGAGGGGGGTTGGTGGGAGAGGGGCGGCACCGAGGACTTTGGCCAATCGCAGGTTGCAAAGGGGGCGGGGCGCCGGCAATCGCGCAGCCAATGGCGTCGTGGCTCTGGGCGCGCGCGCGCGCTGTAGCACGCGGTCCGTGGCCGGCAAGGGGCCCGGTCCCCCCCGACCACCGACCCCGCACAGCGCCCCCCACCCCGCAGACCCCGCACATCCTCCACAGCCACGAGCAGCAGCAGCAGCACCACTCCTCCCATATTGAGGACCACCTCCCACTTTAAAAACAAAGTAAAAAAAAACTTCCCCCCCCCCTTCACATCCCAACAGCCACACGGCCTTCTGGGATTTGTTTTCTCTTGCCAGCAGCATTGGTTTTTAATACAGGCAGACCGAATCGGTTTCAACATTCGGCGTCTCATGAACAGAGTGAGGCTTGATTGAGCCAACGCTTGTGAACTGCGTCATGTGCTCCACATACAGCTGGATGCATCGAGTCTTTCAGGAACACGGAGGGACACTCAAAAGCATCGGGCGTTCAAGTGCTCCGATAGATGATTGATGGCAACTACCTCGTCCGGTATACAGGAGGTCGTGGTTTGGATCCAGACCCTGACGCCTGTTGTATATTTGGAGTGGTCGTGTATTTTTTTCCCCCTTCAGATCCTCCGATTTTTCCCTCCACATTTAGAATCAACGTGCGTTTAGGAGTATTTGGACTGCTATAAATGTCCACATACGCCACTTCGTTGAGCTTATCCAAATAGCTACATAGCTCAGTGGGCCTCACCTGGTGTAATAAAAAGTTTATGTTATTTATTTAGTTTTAGATTTACGGTTTACATTGCAGCGCTGCACACACGGCTTGTGTGAACGTGTGAACAGAGCGAAACACACGAGTTGCAACTCGGATGCCCCTGCGCGCGAGCGAATGTTTACGCGAGTGTTTTCCGAGTGGGGTCATCCACAGGACAACCCACCCACCAGCAGCCATGATCAATCTACTGCTGGATGATAGCCTCTACAAGCCGTTGCCATCAACATGAATAGCCACCCCAGCCGAATGAAATAGAGACCCAAACCTTTATTTATTTCAGCTGGTGATAACACATCCGCAGTGGTGCACAAGCGTAATTAACAAACTCACACTCGTCAAATGCACTGCAACCTTAAAAGTAAAACAAAAGATGCATAATTGGTGACGTTTCAGACGATGGCCTTCATTACACATTGCCTGTAATGTTACCCAATTTTTTAAATGTTGCTTTGAAGGCAAGTGTAGTTGACAGACGTGTTGATGATCATTTAAAAACACATTCTCAGAGCTGGAATTCAAGTGACAGACTTTTTGTGCAGTCATTGGTGGCTGTGCCAAGACCATCACACCTCAGTCCATGCAAGTCTATGGGTCTTGATGCGAGACAATTGTGCCTCTGATGGTATTAGTTGTGTTTAAGGTAACACAAAAACAGGTGGGCTGCGAGAAGACTAACCGCCTCCCACCCACATTGGCATTTAAGCTCCTGAACATATTGCCACTCAACAATAGAATGAGTCTATGGGTCTATGCAAGTTAGGGTTCTTGTTACACTGCTGCTGCGTTATCGATACATCTGTTGAGTTTTAGTTTGTCAAAATATCGCTAAATACACTGCATGCACCCACAAAGGAATTTACCGTACTTTTATCAAAGTATTTCTCAACTCGGTGATACTAAACATGTTCTATCGTGCAAGGGGTTGATAAACAATTACCTGGTTTACATAATACTACATCGCCATGGCCCTCTACACGAGTCCCAACGTTACTGGGTACAGTCTGATCAAACGCAGCATGGCTTCAACATCCAGGCCCACTCATCCCCTCTCCAGGTGCTCTACTTCTCCATCGGAATGTACATACACGTGTGCGCATATACATGCAGACGAGCAACTGTTTCCCAGTGCAGCCGATGCTGCTCCTCATCCCACCAGCGTGCAGGAAAATGCTAGCTGTTATCTGCAGTTATCATCATTCACAATGGAAAGTAGAAGTGGGTGTGTACGTGGCGTCTTTGTACGTATGTGTGTACACACACTTCTGCAACAGTATTGGGAGGCTTCACAGGGGACCTTTGTTTAGGCATTGCACAACAAATGTGCCAACTTGAGTTCAATTCCCAGCCATGTTATCCATGGCAGGGAGTGTGTGTGTGTGAGCATGTGTGAGCTTGTCCGTGTTGTGGGTGTAAATGTGCAAGTGCACCTAGCCTGGCAAGCACTGTGGTGACATCACCGCCACTTAGTGGTGGCATCACCACCACTTAGTGGCGAATGGCGTCTGTTGTTGTTATAGTTGGTGGGCATTTGTGCCATGTGTGTCCACGTGTGGAGCGGTAAGTGCAGCGGTTAGCACGCTTTGCTACAAACCTGGCAACACGAGTTTGATTCCTGCTCACGGCCAACACCAGTGACTTATCAGAAACAGTCCTGGGCCTCCCAGAGCTTGACTCGGCCTCAAATGAGCACCTGGTGCACTGTGCATGTTGCGGACCACCCACCCCCTTGTGTGCCGTAGCAGCCTTCATTAGGTGTTTGCTAACAGCTCTTGCCCCAAGTTCGTCAAGGGTATACAGGGCATCTTTGTTCTTGCATGTCCGTGTGCTCTGTACCTTGACCGCATACTCTTTGTTGTTGATGAGGCTGCAGCAAGTCTGCACGCGTGCGTACGCTCCCTCCCCGAGCAGCTCCCCCGTGAGCCGGTACAGGTCTGTGCCGACACGCACACACCACACGCCCATCAGTAATCACGTTCACCGCCACAGGGGCCGTTCTGTGGGGGCGCTGTCACCCTCCTCTTTTGAATGAGTGTCAGTGCTCCACTTTGTGGGTAAGATAAACAGCAGTTGTGCTCTTCCCCACAATCCCATCCATAGTCGATTGGCCGTGCATTGAGCAGAGTGCACTCCACTCACCTCCGAATCTCCCCGAGAAGCTGTCGGTCGCACGGGTTCTCTTTTTCTTGTTCTTTTTCCCTCGTTTTTTCGGGTCGATGATGTCGATGGGCTGGCTGCACGGGATATCTGTTGCGTGCACATCAAAAACATGTGTTCGTTAAGGCGAGAGATAAATGCCGTCTCTTTCAGATGCTACCACAGCACAAAACACAGCGAGGTATGCCACTGCTGCACCTTCGAAATCGCCTGTGTCACGATGCGTGGTGCATCATGGGAGCCGCCACGAATCGCCAGGTCAAGGACATGCGCTGCGTTATGAAATTTCACATTAAGCCAATGGAAGTTCAAATATGTCAGACAATAAAAAAATCGTCAGGTCAGACGATTTAGGAGAATCGTGCGTACTGTAATTACAGGAGCGCATTTACTCCGCCACGCCGCTGTGGACCACCTCGGGTTTCGAGTTGCGTTAGCCTGTAGGCCTCTCCACCAGCACCCGGGGTGACCAACAGCAACCGTGCACCACACTCCCGGCGCTCAGCCAAGCAACCGGAGTGGAGATCGCGCGACGCGGCCAGGGCACCGTTGCGACGTATCATCCGACACGTCATCCGACACGGGGTGGTAATTTAAACCGTGGCGCTGGGGCCGAGGTTGCGAGTCAAGGGATGAGGTCGCGTGTGGCACGATGCAATGAAAACTGCCGCTAATTCACGAAACCTGACATCACATGGCGGGGGGGCAAGTGGGGCAAGTGGTGACCGTGGCCGCCTGTGTGTTCATTAGTCTGCGAGGGTAGAGGACCCGACGCCACAGACATCCAGCACGAGGGAGGAAAGAGCTCATGGATTTGTGTAGGAACTGGTGGTACTCCCAAACCTACCGAGATGTAGTAGCCAAAAGTCAGTAACAACCAGTGGATTTGTGAATCCATCTGTGCAGATCTTTGCGTTACCCCCTGCCCCCCCCAAAATGCTCTAGGTTCCTCCCACGTGCCAATAACTCCAAACAAGAATTGACCAAACATTCCATTGTAGCAAAACCGTCATTAGAAATGAGTACCGAGACTCGACCAAGGTTTCCCCAGATAATTATAAAATGACTTGCACTGTTATTCCTGGAAGTCTATCAACCTATCCCGTCTAGCTGGATTCATAAAATGAGCATCACTTGTGGAATGTCAAAAACAGCTTTTCTACAGATAAGACTGAACCTGCCACAGTAAAATGTGGAATTTCCACCATTGAACATGACCGCCAACAAAACGTACACGAGCAGGGAAATTATTTTGACGGACTCCACTGCACCGATGCAAATCTGTAAACCCCGTGTGGCCAGAGGCGCCAGTGCTTGCAAATCCGAGTTTTGTTTCCGCAGAGGCTGCGACACAGATCGTCACCCCCTCCCTCCTCGCCTGATGCAACGGCCGTTCACACGACGGCGTCGCAACGCCGCAGGGACCGCGCGCGGGGTCTATGAACAGGCAGCGTGTGGAAACGCCAGCACCGGCCTCGTGCAAGAGCGCTCGCGTATAAACAGATAACAAGGCCACCATCACATGACCACCGCCGCCACCAACAAGCCGGGGAATTTTCCACAGCTCTCTTTTTAAAGTGCTACGGATTTCAGTTCACATATGCACTGTACAATTTACACATGCATACTGTACAGTTCGTTGCAGAGCATAGGCCTAAAAAAAAAAGGGCACACAACATCAAGTACCCAGTAACAAAACAGTACTAGTATGAAAGTTGAAACAGATAACAGTTAACGCATTGTTGGATCGTGCAAGGTTATTTTAAGAGTTTGGGAAGAGAGGCGATGATGGGAGGAGGAAATTTCCAAGTTGAGCAGTGTGGGGGGGGGGTGTTGTTGTGACCTACAGTGTGGTGGTGGTGGTGTTGAGTCCTCAACACGGATGGAGGAATCAATAAATGAAGTTCACGGGATCATGAACCATAGAAGCAATAGAAAAGAGTGATATGGAGGCGATTCACTTAAGTTCTGAAAACGTTATTTTATGTTGAACGTCTTTCCCACCGCACATAGCCAACCGTGCTAACTTGGTGCCCATGGAAGGACAAACTAATGCACAAAAAGCAGTTATTATTACTCCTGTTTCATTAATGCGAATCAGAAAGGCGCACTGTCGGGAGTTATTTATAATTAAAATATCCACAAGAGATGTCTAACAACATCCTTTAACAAGTCTGAGGCTTGATTATTCAGGAATGTGTCTGTGTCAATCGTTGCTTATCAACAAGTACTTGTCCCAGTAGTCTGTATGGCTAAACAGAAGATGTTTTTTGTAAGGAGTGATGTCATTTGTTGATGTGCTGCCCATAAGCCCGACCCTCAAGGGTTCAAACCCCTGGCCATGACACGCACAAAAAGGTGGGATCTTTGTGTTCTGCAAGCAAGAATGCAGGCAACAGGCACAGAGCCATATCGCCCACCAGCCAGGTAAAAAAGGATAGCAAACGGGTGGGCAGTGGCGAGCGGTGGTGAACGGCGGTGGGCAGTGGCGAGTGGCAATGGTTGGGAAGGTAATATGGGTGTTGCAGTCATGATTGAGCGTGGATTTGCTGGCACTGAGAGGGGTGGGCAGCTGCTGCCCGTGGCATCGCAGCACTGCCATGGCGCAAGGTTGCATCAGATTTAGCCAGGAGGCTGCTGTCACGAAGGTGAAAACATCACCAACGTATCATCCTAATCACCATCGTTGTCACATTTACACATTGCTGCAGCCAGTTTTAAGAGTCAGAATTAAATTTAGCAATTTAATTATGAAACTGGCTACAAAAACCATCGTGTAAAAATAGCCCAATTGAATCGTCATTTTTATTAAATTCAGACTAGTTTCTTGACCGCAGGATTTTTTTTACGCAATTTCAAGCAAGACAGAGTACCTGATCACTAAATTTGTCTGAGAATTGTTCTTGAACTCACTGGTGAGTGAGCAGAAACAATAACTGGTGCGGTAAACACTTGTACACAGGACAAACCGTGTGGCCTTGGTCGGGTGGTGGAGGGTTTCATGACAAAACTTTGCCCAAACACTACGTGGTGCAACCCACACGTAAATCACCATCATGGTTTATTATTACATACACCCCCACCCCCCCATGCAGCAACATGCCAAGGCATCAAAGACAACCAACTACTTATAAGCGTCTCCTTTCACATTCCACATTCTCATGGCAAGGTCACTCCATAAGACTGCAATAAAACAAATTTCTGAAATGGATGATGGGCGTACTCAGAATGACAACATTCACATTCTTTAAAGCAGGAACAGCTGCAACCGAGCGAGAGGAGGCAAACAACCAACTTCACAATCACCAAGGCCCCACCACCCACACCAGGTCCAACCACGTGCCGTGATCTCGCCAGAACTTTGGCGAAATTTCCAGAGGGGGGCGGCACTCGTGGAATTTGGTCTGATTTGCGATAAGATTTGGCAGCCGCAGAAATGTACAGATGCTTACATAATTCAAAGGGAGGCTCTACTGAAGACAAGCGCCACCAATCATCATTTGTCTCAGCAGAACTGCTTAGTGTATAGTTTGCCGATCTTCTCCCGTACCTCCAATTAGCACGGTTGGCTACGTACGATGGGAAATAAGTTCAACATACAAGCAAGACAGATTATACAGCATCGCAAGAAAACCTGCGCCCGTTACAAACTCCACCGCTATTATGAGAGGCAAATTGTACAGTCGGCGCTGTATAAAGTAATGCTATCATACACTGTACACATTAGATTTACCACTTGACTCCCCCCTGGGCGATTGGAAGAGTTGTAATTCAGGGTCATGGTTAAACTCAAGAATCGATCGTTTGACGTCGCGGTGAGTGGTGGGTGGGTGCCCCTCATGGTGCAGCGGTGATGTTCCGAACTATGTTTACGATGCACGAGAATCGCACAATGCGCGATTCTCACGCTCGCGATTCGACCCATGCATCATGCCACCCCCGCAGTATAGATGGACACGGGATGAGTTGTCGCTCCGATGTATTGAACAGTGGATTTTGTGATAAGATTGCCATTACAAAGGGAGGCCTGGACATCCCCATTTTGGAATTAAATCCGTTGAACTCAAACAGCCGTAACGGCCAAACACACACACACACGTCCAAACAGCATAGGCCGACTATCCTTCACCATAACCACTCACAAATAGAATTTGGATTCGAGCATGCAGGGTGATTGATGGTCAAGCGCTCGCCATTTCACTCCAGCCACTCGCTCACCGGCGGTCAGTCACCTTGATCGCTCAACTGTCACTACCACCATTGTTGACGTTCCCGTGAACCTCACTCTCGTTGGTCTAGAGCAGTGTGGTTCTTAACCTGAGATGCCCTATCTGGGGGTGCGAGACATGGCCAGATTTTTTTTTAAAGGTAATCAAAACACAAATTAAGCGCGGGCATGTAAGTACAACTTAGTTTGTTTCATCAAGCCAATGTATTAACATGATCATTTTTTTTCACGATATGGAACCAAAAGGGGTGCGAGGCTACTACAATAAAGGTTACGAACCACTGCTCGAGACAGACCCTTTTATATCATCCATACTTTGTTCAACCACCACACTGCACGTCACAACTCACACTAGCTCACTCACCAACCCACCACAATGCAGGTCACAACTCATCACACTAGCTCACTCACCAACCCACGAACTCACCACACTGCAGGTCACAAACACGTCTTTATGCTTCTACCCTGTTACTGCCCCCCCCCCTCTCGATTTGTATGTATGCTCAATTTTAACTTTAGTTCTGAAAACGTTATTTTATTGCATGTTGAACGCATTTCGCAACTTACGGAGCCAACCGCGCTAACCAGAAGTGCGTGGGGGGGGGTAAAACCTAAACACTATAATCAGTTGCCTTTCCATCAACTTTTCCCAAAATTACAATTACCTTGCGCCCAATTCTGAGGAACGTTTCACATCGCACCTATTGCAATATTGACGTTGCTGGCCGCTCGACCCCGTGTTTAAAAACCAACAAAGAAAAGCCATCGCTGGGGCTGCGGGCAGCTCGCGAGCGAAGAGGGAGACAAGCCGACGGTCGAACGCAGAGACGCAGTTCACGACGACTGCCTTCGGATTATTTTTTGTTGCATCACATCACATCCCACCCAGGGCATCGCAATTCCTGGCAAATCCTCATGCACGCATATGGGGAATTGTGCGCGCGTGCGCAATTACATAACCAGCGCACGGAACATTCCGGAATAATCCCGCTCCAGGGTTTCACGCTCACCAACAACGCCGTTATAAGCGCGCCCATCCATCCAATCCACCAGGGCGCGGGTGGAGCAAACGCCACCGTGGAAATCGGCGCAAACACAAACAACCACCAAAATAGAAGCAGGAGGGAGAAGAATAATATCTGGCGACCGGCAAGTACGACAACAACAAAAAACGATATACAAACAAACAAAACTGCAGACCCGACGTTCCGGGCGATGGGCCCAACTCACCAGGCCGCCGGCAGCTCTCCGTGGAGAAGTCCGAGAAGTCGTCGGCGTCCAGCTCCGTGGCGGAGAGTTGGCTCCCGGCCCCCCGCGCCACGTCGAAGCTGAAGTGGAACCCCGAATCGTTGGACATGGAGAGGCCATGCTGTAGAGAGGCGAGGTGGTGTGTGGGAAGGGGGGGGGTCATCAGCGTGGCTCCACGTGACTGCGCTCAATCACCGGTTGCCCATCTGCGGTCCAGAGCACGGGGCCGGTGGTGGAAATTCCACAAGACCAAGGTATTTGGGGGGTCTCTATGCAAGTTCATTCGAGCCTGCAAGGTCCTCTCTGTAGGTTCACTGCAAGTCTTTGGGGTTCTCAACACACGGAACATGTTGTTTGTCGTACCCACCCCCCTTCACCTGGTTAACAGTTACGGTTCATGGATATTACACACATGAACATCGCCATCACCTTGCATCAATGCCCACTAACAATAACAACCATCACGGCCACCATCGCAATCATCGCCGTTATCACCTTGGCCATCGTAACCATTGCACATCCAGCACCACCGCCAACCAGCCACATCACGAGCATTAAACCACGAGAGAAAAAAAGAAAACACAATTTCTGAGGCGAAATAAAATGTCGAAATCGGTCCGCATCGTGGACGCGCGTGGCTGACGGGATGCGTAAAAAGCACACGTCATTGTGTGGAGGAGGGTCTGCGCACAGCTCCAGTGTGGTTCAGAGTTCGCCACAACAACAACCACAACCAACAACAACAAAACTTCACGAGCTTCCCCGTCAACCGCGAGACTCCTCCGACAACGCCAATGAACTCGAAGGCGCTGCTGGGAACAGCACTGGCGCCTATCACTCAACGTTACACTACACCACCACACCACACAAACACACACACGGGCAGTAGGAACAGCCAAGCCAGAGTTCTAGTCCACACAGATCGATCCTTGAAGGCGACCGATGATAATGACGAGACGACGGCGATGACGACGATGGATGCTTCTAGAACGTAAAATCGTGATACTGCAGAACTAGATTTGAGCCCACGACCTTCGACTCCCGGTGGGTGCCCGATCGCTCTCTAACCGCTGCACCAGCAGAGAAAGACGACGACCCGCGGCGCATGCTAATAAAACGAGTCGCGACCAATAATTAAGTCACGAATGGACATTGGCGAATTGTGAGTTTTCTCCTCAACTCCACTCACCTTGAAGGAGCGCCCGAAGTCGTCCATGTCGATGGCTTTGTTTTGCACGACCATCTTGAGGCAAATCGCCCTCGAGTTTTTGTCAATAAACGAGCGAGCGACCAATCGGCCTTGGACACACGAGGCCGATTTGTGAATCGGCGCTAATGTTTGTTGTTGTTGTCGTCGAAGACGTCGGCTTTCGCGGTGTCAACGCCGAGCCTCGCAGGCGAACGTTGCTATTCGTTCAATTCGGTCGCAGGTTTAACGCGACCTCTTTCGCCCGAGCGCCGAGGGGTCTATATTTCATTCGGCAACACGACGACGCCTTTTTTTAAATACAAACTAATGTTGTTTGTGTGTGCGTGTTGCGTACAAAACTGCAGCAATCCGATTGGGGTTTTTTTTGTTTATCCTGCAGCAGTCAACAGGGCTCGCTCACAATGGGGAGTCGTGCTGGTAAAGGAATAACGGACTTGAAAAATATCCTGTAAACCCCGCTTCCCTCGACTATCGTCGCTCCTCAATTTTACTCGTGTTCCTCCGACCCTTATTCCTCCTCCTCCTCCACCACCCTTCATCCACCCTCCTCCACTCCTCCTCTTCCACCTCCTCGTCCTTCTCCTTACAACGGGAGCCGCTCTGCGAGGAGTCGCCTCTCGCGCGCGCCTTTTTATAGTCGAGCTCCCCCCCAATCCCCCACACCCCCCCATCCCCCCACCAAAGCAACGTCATTGCGACAGCCCCGCGTGGTCGACGTCACGACGCCGGTCCCGCCCCTCCCCCGGCGTGCGTGATGACGTCATGGCGCCAGTTTCTACTCTCCGCCCCCTGCACCTCACCCCCAGTGTGCGCGGTGACGTCGTCTCGTTAGTTTATCATCATCATCATCATCAGGCACGTGCCGCGGGATTAGGTAATCGTGCTGTGATTACATTCGGGGCGCGATGCGTCGATTCTCACGGCGTGTGCTGTTTATATAGACCGCGTGCATCACACGGCTCGGCGTAGGAATTCAGAGTTTTTTGCTGAGCGCGGTGGCAAAGGTCCAAAAATGCCGAGCGACCAGCAACAACCAGCACTACGAAAGTTATAATCAACTTAAACACGCCATCGAGGCCATCTGCCATTGGCAATATTGATTTATCTGTAAACCGGTTTTATACCGGTTTAAAACCGGTAACCACATCCTATTTGGGGACTTTAATTCGAGTTTTTTTGGCTTCCGTGTCGATTTACATTCCGTTGATGCCACCGCCACCACCACCCACCCCTTCCTCGCTCACAACAGAATCAGAATCTTTATGCATACTGCAGGAGGGGTGCGATGAGCTATGAAGCTCTTTATTTTTTGTTTTACAGAAGTTCAGTAGGGGCGGGTTCAACGCGTTCGCCCCTCCGCCAGATCACGCGCAGCTGCTGCGCGTCCCTCCCAAGATCTGTGCCAACAGAGACCCCTAGACACGCATAGAGACACATAGAGACCCCTAGCCACGCATAGAGACACGTAGACACGTATAGAGACCCCTAGACACGCATAGAGACCCCTAGACACGCATAGAGATCCCTAGACACGCATAGAGACCCCTCGACTCGCATATAAACCCATAGACCCTTATTGAGACCCCTAGACTCGTATAGAGACCCCTCGACTCGTTTCGAGACCCCTAGACTCGCATTGAGACCCCTAGACTCGTATAGAGACCCCTAGACACGCATAGAGACCCACTAAACTTTCATAGAGACCCCTAGACAGGCATAGAGACCCCTCGACTCGCATAGAGACCCCTAAACTTTCACAGAGACCCCTCGACTCGCATAGAGACCCCGAGATACGCATAGAGACCCCTAGACTCGCATAGAAACCCCTAGACCCTCATTGAGACCCCTACACTCGTTTCGAGACCCCTAAACTTTCATAGAGACTCCTAGACTCGTATAGAGACCCCTAGACAGGCACAGCGACCCCTCGACTCGCATAGAGACCCCTCGACTCGCATAGAGACTCCAGATATTCTCATTGAGACCCCATATACTCTCATAGAGACCCCGTATACTCTCTTAGAGACCCCCTAAACTTTCATAGAGACCCATAGGCTCACATAGAGACCCCTAGAGTCACAGAGACCCATAGACTCGCATAGAGACCCCTAGAGTTACATCGAGACCCCTAGCCTCAGAGACCATAGAGACCTAATCGACTCTCACAGAGACCCATAGACACACAGACACCCACAAATGTGCCAAAACAGTGTCCAAAAATCTGATTTCCTCTTGCTTCACCGCTGCCCGCTTGCTTTGTGTCTGTTTTTTGTTTGCCTTTGTAATTGTAGCGGTCCAGGTCTTGTGATCGAGACTCATCCCTCGTTGTTTCGAGTCCCCCCAACTCCCCGGCGACACGAAATCACAAAACTCGACAGCCTCCTTCTCGCCGCTGAGGCAGTTGTTAGTCGCCCACCGCTCCGTGACTTCATCGGCGTTTAACGATGAACGCAATTCGATGAATTATCACATCACCCCATACAGAGTCAACCCATTACGGTTTTACTCCGTATTCTTGTACAGGGAAATTTAGTTTTTTTGGCTCCATACGGTGTGCTGCCGTTACGATCGGGCAGCACAATGTGTTTGTGTTTCTGCCTCGTGATGGGACTTTGTAGGATGAACGTTGAGATTTATAAAGGGCACGGGGTAACCAATACGGTCTGAATTGGTCTGTAATAAGGTAGGGCACTGATAAAGTGTTGCCAGGTATGTAATTACCACATCATCCCGTTCGCGATTACATTGAACCAACCGACGATGTTCATCGTCTCCGTAATCGATTCATCTCATCAGTTCGTACTCAGGTCCGTTAAAATCGGACCTGAGCACGATTTGCGTTCCGTGAGTACAGAAAACAAACAAACGCACGAACTCCCACCGGCCTACTCACCGGTTACCGAGTTTGACAAGGCCAGGTTTGGTTGCCCCATTTCGGATGTTACGCGTGACGCTTCGCTCGTTGCCTCGCGGTTGCATCACGCGGGGAGGGGGGGGGTCTATTGGCTCGAAGTTCGTAAGTCGAGCAGGATTATATTTATTTTATTTTCAGCCTCGAAGGTGCTCGACAACCGTGCCACGCACACGCAAGCAACCGTGTTTCCAACCGAGACGCTGCGCTTTGGTGGTGGTGGTGGGTTAAAGCTATAGGGCTGTGAACGAACACAAATTAAAGGTCCCATAGACGACTCACGCGAGGGAGGGTGGCCACTGGCCAGCAACACCACACCCGACTGGACCTCCCTTTGTCTGCCCACACCGCACCGGGTTTCTCATTTGAGGCTGAGTCGACCTAGGGGAGGAGGACCAGGACCGGTTCAGATAATCGTCACCTGGTGTTGGCCGTGAGCGGGAATCGAACTCGGGTGGCCGGGTTCGTAGCTAGCCCGCTTACACCACCGCTCCCCACAAAGACAAAGATCCCCCATACAGCCTGTGACAGACTGTTGGGGCAAGTGCTGTTAGCGAGCACCTATGAAGGCCGGAACGGCACACGAAGGAGTGGGTGGCCAGCACAGTACCACCCCCGGCCCTCTTTGTCTCTCCATTGACAATGTCCACACACCGCACCAGGTACTAATTTGAGGCTGAGTCGACCTAGTGGAGGCCCAGGATAGGTTCAGATAATCGTCACCGATTTTGGCCGTGAGCGGGAATCGAACTCGGTTCGCCGGGTTCGTAGCGCAGCGTAGCGCTAACCGCGACACTACCGCTCCCCACACACGCAAACGCGCGTGCAGTGACGCACACACACACACGGGTACACTGACACACAGTGACACACTGTGGTACACTCACCCACACGTGCTCTCTCGCACGCGCGCTGCACACGCTTCTCACGAACACATTCGCGGAAGAAAAACACAGACAAAGATCCCCCGTATAGCCCGTGACAGACTGTTGGGGCAAGTGCTGTGAGCGAGCAACAATAAAGGTCGGCACGGCACACTCAGACGGCAACAATCACCCATTCGTTAATGAATGTGCGAGTGTTAATGCACATTCGCCATAAATATGATGAGTGTGTGCGTGTGTGTCAGTTGTGAGTGTCTGTGTGTTTGTAGTGTAGCGGGTAGCGCGCCGCGCTACGAATCCGTCGACTCAGCATCAAATGAGTACCTGGTGCGGTGTGTAAACATCGCGACTGGGGAGACAAAGGCGGCCGGGCGTGGTGCTGGCCGCCCACCCCCTCGTGTACCCTCCCGGCCTTCATAGGTGCACGCTAACAGCGCTTGCTCCTACAGCCAGTTAAGCCTATACGGGGGATCCTTTGTTAAACTTGCATATTACATAATCTAGATTGAAAACTAATTTCTTTAGAGCTGCTATTTTGTGTTAAGTTGTCGTTCTCCCTCGAACGGTTTGCTACGTGCGGTGCAAAATAAGTTCGACGTACATACATACTCCGCCACAATGTTCACCCCTCCCCGACACACACACACAAAGACAAAGAGGGTGGATCTTTAATCTCCTGCCGGGCTCCAGCACAATGCGAGGCAAATACCGAGCCTCTACTGCGCCTACTTCGCGACAAATGAAGTTATTTTACACATCCCATCAGCAACACGACCTTCCGGGAGTGCATCAGTTCAGCACCAGCAACGCTCCTGGACCTAGTTGCTGCAGTGACTTAAACCACGAGACGAATCTCGTTCGCCGGAGGGATCGCCGGTGACTGATCGGGGACCGCTCAGTCAGAGTAAGAACTACAACAGCTGAGTCAGAACTGCAACAGCTGAGTAAGAACTGCAACAGCTGAGTAAAAACTGCAACAGCTGAGTAAGAACTGCAACAGCAGAGTAAGAACTGCAACAGCTGAGTAAGAACTGCAGCAGCTGAGTAAGAACTGCAACAGCTGAGTAAGAATTGCAACAGCTGAGTAAGAACTGCAGCAGCTGAGTAAGAACTGCAACAGCTGAGTAAGAACTGCAACAGCTGAGTAAGAACTGCAACAGCAGAGTAAGAACTGCAACAGCAGAGTAAGAACTGCAACAGCTGAGTAAGAACTGCAACAGCTGAGTAAGAACTGCAACAGCTGAGTAAGAACTGCAGCAGCTGAGTAAGAACTGCAACAGCTGAGTAAGAACTGCAACAGGGGAGTAAGAACTGCAACAGCTGAGCAGGAACTGCAACAGCAGAGTAAGAACTGCGACAGCTGAGTAAGAACTGCAACAGGGGAGTAAGAACTGCAACAGCTGAGCAGGAACTGCAACAGCAGAGTAAGAACTGCAACAGCTGAGTAAGAACTGCAACAGGGGAGTAAGAACTGCAGCAGCAGAGTAAGAACTGCAACAGGGGAGTAAGAACTGCAACAGCTGAGTAAGAACTGCAGCAGCTGCCTCGCCGTTTCCAGGAGGGGTTCCCGTTTAACTTTTCGCAGCAGCGGGCGACGATTGAATGATTTGCATGTTCAAGTCAAGCCATTTGACACCTGTTGAGAATCGCGTAAACACGCGAAGTCCGCTCTGCCAGCGGGTGAAGATCATCGCTCGATAGCGGGCAAGGGGCAGCGCTGCACAGAGCCACTGCACGGACTGCACGTGCCCACCGTCACCGTCAATCATCATCAGCCATGGTCTATCCACCGCTTGCT